GCTGGGACTACAGACGCACATGACCATGACCAGCTAATTTTTTTTTTCTGTAGAGACATGACTTTGCCATGTTGCCCAGGCTGGTCTGAAACTCCTGAACTCAAGCAATCTGCCCCTTTGCCTCCCAAAGTGCTAAGACTCCAGACATGAGCCATCATACCCAGCCAACTTTTTAAATATAATGTAAGGTAAGCGTTCAGCTTTATTCTTTTGCACATGACTATCCACTTGTCCCAGCACCATTTGTTGAAAAGACTGTTCTTTCCCCACTGGATGGACTTGGCACCTTTGCTGAAAATCAGTTGACTACAGATGTTTGCATTTATTTCTGGAATCACCATTTTTTTAAAAATACAATGATCTATGTCTATGCTTGTGCCAGTAACACACTTCGTAATTACTGTTGTTTTGTAATTCAAAATGAGGAAATGTGAGTTTTTCTACTTTATTCTTTTTCAGGATTTCTTTGGCTATTCTGGGTTCCTTGCAATTTCATATAACTCTTAGCATCAGCTTGTTAATTTCTGCAAAGAAATCAGCAGAGATTCTGACAGAGATTATGCTGAATCTGTAGATAAGTTTGAGGAATACTGTCATCTCAACAGCATTATACTCTTCTGATCCACAAACATGGGATGTTTTTCCACTTATTTATGTCTTCTTTAATTGCTTTCTGCAATGTTTTGTAGTTTTCAGAGTATAAGTTTTGCACTTTTTGTTAAATATGTTAAGCACCTTATTCTTTTTTATGCTATTATGAATATTCTTAATTTCATTTTTGATTATTCACTGCAAGTGTGTAGAAATACAATTGATTTTTAAATACTGATGTTGTATCCTCCCATCTTGTTGAACTCATTTATTAGCTTCAATAGTTTTTTTTTAGCGGATTCCCTAGAATTTTCTACATACAAGATCATGTTATTTGCGAACAAAGTTTTTCTTCTTCCTTTCCACACTTTTTTTCTTCTTGTATAATTGTAATGGCTAGAACCTCCAGTACAATGTTAAATAGAAGTGTGATAATGGGCATCCTTGTCCTATTTCTAATCTTAGTGGGAAAGCATTGTTTTTCACCATTAAGTATAAAGACAGCTGTAGATTTTTCATAGATGCTCTTTATCAGGTTAAGGTAGTTTCCTTCCATTCCTTGTTTTTCAACCATTTTTATCATGAAAGGGTGTTGGATTTATTCAAATGCACCTTTTTTTTTCATCAGTAGAGATGACTTTTAAAAATTATATTGACATACGTATTACATTGATTTTCACATGTTAAGCCAATCTTATATCCCTGGGATAAATCCTACTTGGTGACGGTGTATAATTCTTTTTATATGTTGCTGGATTTGGTTTGTAGCATTTAGTTGAGGATTTTTGCATGTATTTCATAAGACACATTGGTCTGCAGTTTTCCTGTGATATCTTTGAGTGGTTTTGTTATCAGGGCAATACTGGGAAGTATTCCCTCCTATTTCTTGAAAGAGTTTGAGAATAATTGCTATTAGCATTTCTTTGATTGTTTGGTAGAACGCAGGGGTAAAACTGTCTGTGCCTGGGCTATTCTTCATGGGCAATTTTCTGATTGCTGGTTTAATCTGCTCACTAGTGATAGGTCTATTCAGATTGCCCATTTCTGTAAGGTTGGTAGTAGTGTCTATTATTTCATATTATATCCTAGTAATTTGAGTATTGCCTTTTTATTGGTCAATCTAGTGAAATATTTGTCATATTTATTGATCTTTTCAAATAACCAGTTTCTAGTAATATTTTCTCTATTGTTTTTCTATTGTTTCATTAATTTCTACTCTATTATTTCCTTCCTTCTGCTTGCTTTAGGTTTAGTTTTTCTTTCTTCAATGACTCAAGGTGGAAGGAAGGTTACTGCTTTATTTCTTCCTTCTTAATACAGGCATTTACACCTATAAATTTCCCTCTAAGCACTTTTTTAGCTGCATCTGTACAGTTCACTTGTGTCTTAATTTTCGTTAGTCTCAAAGTGCTTTCTGATTACCTTCTTGTTTTCTTCTTTAGTGTATTGGTTATTTAATAGTGTGTTGTTCAATTTCCTAATTGTGAGTTCTTCAAATGTTCCCATTTTTTATTTCTAATTTAATCCTGTGATTATGACCACAAAATGCTCTTTGTATTATTTCTATCCTTTTAAACGTATTGAAGTTTCATGGTCTAGCATAAGGCCTATCCTGAAGAATGTTCCATGAGCATTTGAGAATGTATATGCTGTAGTGCTTGGGTAAAGTGTTCTATAGATGTCTGTTAGGGCCTAGTTGGTTTATAGTGTTGGTCAAGTCTTCTATTTCATTAACCTTCTGTCTAGTTCTGTCCATTATTGAAAATAGGTTATTGGAGTCTCCAGTTACTATTATGGCCATTTTCTTTTTTCATTTCTGTCAGTTTTTGCTTTCTGTGTTTTGATACTGTTATTAAGTTCATATATATGTTTACAACTGTTATTTTTTTTTTTTTTTGATGAGTTAACCTTTTTATCATTATAAAATGTCTCTATCTCTAGGAGCATTTTTGTCTTAAGATCTACTTTGTCTGACACTAGTACAGCCAGTCCAGCTCTTTTGTGGCAATTGTTTGGACTATTTCTCTATCCTTTTACTTTTAATCTATCTGTGTCTTTGAACCTAAAGTGTGTCTCCCATAGATAACACAGAGTTGGAATGCATTTTTAATCCAATCTGACAGTCTCTGCCTGATTAAATTAACATTTATTATTGATAAGTTGAATACACATTACTTTGTTTTCTATTATCTATTGTGTTCTTTTCATTCTCTTTTACTATTGCCTTTTGCATCAAGTGAGTATTTTCTAAGGTAGTATTTTAATTTTATTAATAATTTTTCAACTACATTTCTGGAGTTATTTTCTTAGTGGTTGCTCTAGCATTTACCATATACATCTTATCAGAATCTAGTAGAATTACACAAGCTTAAGTCCAATAATATATAGAAGCTTTCCTCCTATATAGCTATATTCCCTTCCCCCTTTTTGTGATATTTTAGGTATACATACTGTATCCATTAATGTTACAAATCCAATACATTGTTATAATTATTATTTTACCATCTGCCATTTCATTAGTCTATTACAGCTTTGCTCCCAGCCACCTCCTTTGTGCTGTTTTGACAAATGTTATATATATGACATTTCTGAATGTTATAGACCAATACATTACATACATATTATTTGATACAGCTGCATTTTGAATCAGTTGAGAGGAGAAAAATATGCATTTATGTGACTTTTATAATTATATAATTGCTTTTACTGGTGCTCTTCATTTGCTTTCAGCCTAAAGAACTTCCTTTAATACTTATTAGGCAGGTTGGTTAACAACAATTTTTCTGTTTTTGTTTATCTGGAAAAGTCTTTATTTCACTTTCATTTTTGAATAATACATTTGCTGGATATAGGATTCTTGGTTGACACTTCTTTTCCTTCGAGCACTCTGACTGTTATACCTGCCCTCTGGCCTCCATTATTTCTTCTGAGAAGTCAAGTATTAATTTTGTTCCCTAAGTGATGTATCTTTTTTTCACTCACTACTTTCAAGGTTTTCTCATCTTTGTTTCCAGCATTTTTTACTATGATGTGTCTGTGAATCCCTCTGCATTTATCATGCTGGGAGTTCACTAAGCTTCCTAGATGTTTTTCAATCAATTTGGAGAGTTTTCAGTCATTATATCTTTAAATATTTTCTTTTTCTTCTGTCCTTCTTGTAATCCCATTACATGCACACTTAATGGTCTTCAATGGTGCATATAATGGTGCTTCACATTTCTCTGGGGTTTTGCTCATTTTTCATTTTCATTCTCTGTTCTTTGGAAAGCATATCTCTCTTACTCTATCTGCCAGTTGGCTGACAATTTCTTCTGCCAGTTCAAATCTACTATTGAACCCCTTTCGTGCATTTTTTCCTTGTCATAGTTTTTAACTTCATGAATTTAGCTCTTGCCACTTGGAGCTGCAGGGATAAGAAATGCTGGCATCTTGCCCCTCCCTGTGAGGTACCATACCTCTGGACAGGGAGCTGAGGGAGACGGAGCTCTGTTTTCTTGGCTGCACCCACTGAAATGGGAGGGAGGGAGGAGTGTGTTGTGGCTGAAGAGTCTGACTCACTGTTCTTACCAAGATTTGGATTTCCTTGAATAAGTGTTACTTTATTCTACATGCTTTTAGGATAATTTTCAGTACATTAAGTGTTTGTGTCTCTCTGTATAAGAGGAAGGTGTTTATTTTTTGTTCCAATTTTCACCAGTTAAAGCTAATTCCTAGGACAGGGGGTCCAGAGGGCCCTTCACATTGCCATTCTGGAAGTGAAAGTCTAAAGGATATCTCAGTGTTAGAAAATTTAACTGTGTACTTTACTACACTAAGAAAAGCTATACAGTTATATCAATATATACCAGAAAAGACTTTGAGGACAATCATTCTACCATGTGTGATAACCAATTATGACATCACAATGATAAAAACAGTGGGTTACTAGCAAAGTTAGATAAATGGACCAATTTAACAGAATGCAGAGCCAAGAAACATTTCCATAATTATATGTAAATTGGTAAAGGTGGCATTATACATCAGGAGGAAAATAATAAACTATTTGTTAAAGGTGGTAGGGAAACTAGTCATCCATATGGGATTAATAATTTATGAGAATGTATTCATGACCTTAGCTAGGGAATGGTTCTTAAAGAAACAAAAAAAATGGAAAGACTGAATTTACTGTATTTTAAAACTTCCATATGATAAACATCACAAAGTAGATATGAGAATATGCTAATTCTCCATATTTTTATATAAAAGTTAAAAGACTCACAACCAAAACTAAAAATCTGTAAAACACCTAGGAATAAGCCTATTATGAAATGTGCAAGAGATTTATGATGAAAGTTATTAAAATTTCATCCAAGAATATAAAAGACTTTAATAAAATGAGGCCTATCATAATACTAATCAGAAACATAATATTAATTATAAAGAAGTCTTTTATTCTTAAATTACTGTGGAAACAAATGCAACCCTAGTCAAAAGAACACCACAATTTTACTGGAATTGAATAAACTAATTCTTGATTCAGCTGGCACAGAAAACACCCAAGAATAAGACACTGAAGAGGGGGAGAAAGGAAAAGCAACTTGCCCATGAATGGCAAAACACAACGCAAAGCACCAAATGACAGCGTGAGGAGTGTGGTTGGTAGAACCAACACCTGGATCCACGGGTCAGAAATAGACAACTTAGCATGTGATGAGTTGAAAGTTGACATTTTAAACTGGTGGAGAAAAGAATATTTGTTGATCATTGGAATAATTGCCTTTTTGTTTTTGTTTAGGGGAACAATCCTAAAAGATAAACAACCCACAGGAAAACTAGGCAAATATAACACAAATAGGCAAAGTATGGTAGAGATCTACAAATGGCCAATAACACGCAAATGTTTGATTTTATAAGTAATCAGGGAAATTCAAGTGAAAAAAAGGTACTTTCAATCATGAGATTGGTTAAAACAAAACAAAACAACCTACCGATATTGATACCACTTACTGTTGGCAAGGGTTTGGAGAAATGGGTCCTTTTATGGAGGGTGAATTGAAGCAAGCAATTTTGCTACATCAACTGACATTTAAAATCTACATAATTAATCCAACAATTCTATGCAGGCAGAGCTATACTTACAGGAATAGAAATGTCTTGCACATAATATTAAATGAAAAGTTAGTTGCAAAATAAGGATGGTATCACCCCATTGATATAAATTACATATTTAAAGCAAACTCGTTGCTGTAATAGACTTCAAAAGACAGTAGTTTAAGCAAGTCAGTATTTTATTTTACTCTTAAATAGCAAGTCAAAGGAGAATAGTTCAAGACTGGCAGGCCAACGTCTCCTTCCTCAACACATGACTTCCATCTCTTGAGATGCCAGGTCACTACTGAAGCTCCCATTGGCCTCCCAGCCAGCAAGAAAGGGGAATGTCAAGGAGAGTGCATACCCTGCTTCTTTATTTAAAGGGCCAATTTGGAAGTTTAAAACTTAGTCATATGGCCACAATTAACTTTAAGGGAGGCTGAGTAGTAGTCTTAAGCTGAGCAGCCAGACGTCCAGGTAAAACTCAGAAATGTTATTAGTAAAGGAAGAATGAGAAAATGACATTATAGCAGCAGTCTGTGTCATGTGATTCTCTAAATGCATGGAGAAGACACACCAAACATAGGACTGTACTTAGCTGTGGAACAGGTGCAAGATGGTGTGGGGGTGGGGAGGCAGACTATTGCTTGAACATTTTTAATGGTGATGGTATTAATATATTTAATTTTTTGACAAAATTTTAAAATCCTTTATTTGTGCTGATAAAGCATGTTAAATACATTAAATCTACACTGTACAAAGCTTTTAAAGTTCCAAAAATTAGATTTTTATCTAAATGAATAAACTTCTCTGCATTGTTAAAACCATTCTACTTACTGCAATGTTCTCCAAGTCCCTCCATCCAGGAGGCATGATGACAATGTGTGCAGATCTCCTCACTGAGACACCACCTTCCCAAGATCATGGTACGTCAGAAAAACTGAGACAAGAACTGGAACAAGGACCACCTTGCTCCTACTGCATTATAGTTTTTGACAGTATTTGTTACTTGAAGAGAAGGCTATACCTTGTCTAGCTCAATACAGTTTATGTTTCAGACACTATAAATGTGATGCCCAAATGCTTCATATGAGTGAACAAGGTCAGTAGATCACCCTGAGAACAAGGAAGACACAATTTCCTTATAGGCTAATGATTATAAAAATAGAAATTAAGAGCTCCCCAGAAACAAACCACTTAGTCAAAAAGGAAGGAGTTTTGACTTCCTTCTAAACCAAGTATTCAAGTTTAAGACTTATTGGCCTGTTTAAAAATTCCTTCTATGACTTCTCAACAATGATGGCAAAGTGACAAGAATAATGTAATCATCATCTTCCCTCATTATATATAAACCAAACTAAAAACCAAAGAAATGAACAAGCTATAATCCAAAAAAACTAGAAAATCCTGGCAGGAATCATAAAGAACATCTCTAAGAAAAGGATTCTTGGCTTAAGCAAAATATTAGAGCAGAGAAAGCAAAACTCATGTCCTCTCATGCAGTCCGGCAAGGCTCCCCCTGCCCAGGACCCTCCTGTCTGAGTCACAGGGACAAGCAGACAGAAGATCTGGACACAGCTATCCATGTTAAGCATGAGCGAGATGTAAAGAAACAGCACGGTAGGAGGGCAGGTATACTACAGAAAATGAGAGAGGAAAAGAGCAGACCAGAGAACACAAATCCAAGAAACAAACTGCACTGAGATAGCTACAGAAGAAATTCAAGGAATACAATGATTTTCAGAAAACAACACTTCAAAGATGAGATGATAAAATCATCCTGAGAAGGAAACAAGAAAAACACAGGTAAGAAAATAAACTGGGCTAGGCGCGGTGGCTCACGCCTGTAATCCCAGCACTTTGGGAGGCCGAGGCGGGCGGATCACGAGGTCAGGAGATCGAGACCATCTTGGCTAACACAGTGAAACCCCGTCTCTACTAAAAATACAAAAAATTAGCCGGGCGTGGTGGCGGGCACCTGTAGTCCCAGGTACTCGGGAGGCTGAGGCAGGAGAATGACGTGAACCCGGGAGGCGGAGCTTGCAGTGAGCAGAGATCACACCACTGCACTCCAGCCTGGGCGACAGAGCTAGACTCCATCTCAAAAAAAAAAAAAAAAGAAAAGAAACTGAGGATCAAAGCAACACCATCACAGAACCATAAACACATAAACAGTAGCGAGATACAAACAGCCTTGGCTGGAATCCAAACCACAGAAACAGGAAAGCCCGTCACAGGGAATGCAAAGGCAGGCGCAAGACAAAGGCAACTGGAGAGAAGACAGCCTGCCAGCCTGCAGATAAGAGAGGTCTGGAGTGGTGTCACTTCATAGTAATAACAGCTGGGTCTGCTGTGGGCTGCAGTGATGTTTGTGTGCATGCACATGTGTGGTTTTTATGTACCTACTTTTGGCTTTAATTGGATTTTTTTTTTTAATAACACATTTTGTGACTGTAGGAGGGAAAAAGATGCCCTTTTGTGACTGTAGAAGGGAAAAAGATGCCCTCTGCTTAAAGGAAAGCCAGGGTAAACTGAATACCCTACAACTTTCCACAAATACATGTCTTATCATTTATTAACAAACTGTTTCATGCTTTACTAATAAAAATACCCACCAATTTGCCAGTACCTTGAAAAGAGGATCTTTTCAAGAAAATTAATATAATTATCAAACAACAAATAACAAACCTGACCTTTGTGGGTGGCAAACAGTAAATTTAAATGTTTAAAGGTTATGCATCAAAATAATGCTGTTATCAGATATTGATGAACTTACTGAACAGGTTTGACTGAATATAAAACCTGTTTTTAGCACCAATAAAAAAAATTATTGAGATTTCTGTTCTGCAAACTTCTAACTGTGCTCCCTGACAGCATCTTTTGGGTAAAGGAACAAATGTGCTCCAAGGAGTAACCGTTAGGTCCCTGATTTTTTAACATAATTCAGAGTGCCAAAAAAAGAAATCAATCCAAGTATTTTCTCCTTTAGCTAGCATTATTAAAACTTTTTAACTTTCAGAGAAGAGTTTCGTCTTCTTAAAGTTTTAATTCTGAGGTAGATGTCATGCAAACAAACATCAAGTGCAGCCAACTTCCATTGACAAACATGATTATTAATAATAAATTAATAATCAGAAATGCCCATTAGAAAAAGTGACTTGAAAGTTTAGGAAGCAATGTTGTTTAGCAGTATTCTGGCTTAAGTTTCCAAATTCCTTCACCACCAGAAGTTCTATGAAAAGTGCACAGATTTCTCAATAGTTCTCGGAAGACACAAGACTGCGATGCAGATAACTTGGATTCAAACTCCTGTAGTATCTCCCTGGTGCTGGCCTGGCCATCAGTGTGGGCCTGGAAAGCAATGAAGTTTCTCATCTCCACCAGAAGGTCATCATGTTCTGTGGTGGGAAGCAGGGCAGAAGCTTCCTGCAGGTGCCCGCTTTCACTTTCTAAACGCTCTGGCAGAATCAGGTGGTTTCTAGCTCTCATTTTAGCCAAGAGTGAGGAGGAAGCGAGGGCCCCGGACGAAGAGTCTGCATCTTCTGCTCTTCCACTAAAATGCTCAGGGACATTATCTTTTCCCTCCTTTTTCATGATGCCATCCTGGAAAAAGAAGACCACTATATTGATATATTTAATCTCTAGTTTATGCCCCCACTTCCTTCCCCAAAAGCTGTGAGGGGTCACCAGACAACACATGTGCCAGGGTGGTGAGGTTGACGGGGTAAGACTAAGACTCCACCTAATGAAAAGGGAAAGGAGGAGGGTCCGGTATCTAAATCCTCCCACTGTTAAGAGACCGTTTCCTAAAAAAAAAAAAAAAAAATTAAAAGGGGGGCAACCAAGCCATTCCCTTAGTCACCACTCTGCATGGTGGTGGAAGGGAAGGCAGAGTGGAGGTTTCCAGGCAAGGTTTCAGGAAAATCTGTCTCTAGGAGGCCCAGGACCACTTTCAGTGCCCGTGGGCTTTTCCTATTCTTCCTCTCAAATGGACCCTGACCTGTACACTGTGGATAAGGAACAGTATCATAGCTATACTTCTTTTTCCTCACTTTTAAATCTTCTTACTCTTTCCTACCTTACATCTAATGCAAGTTTCCTTAAAAAAACACAAATCTAACTCTGAAAGGGTCTCAAATCCCTACTGCTAAAAGCACAGAACATGGGAAGTCAAAAAGGTACTCATATTCCTAAACACGTTCATATTAACTTAAAATTGGAGTCTGAATCTGGGAGTTTTAACATAATCCTTAATCAGAAAGACCAGAAAGACTTTCACTGAATGGTGGAGTCTGGACTAGTTTTAACCACTGTAGCACTCAAGGCAAGCAGGGCATTCTTGAACAGAGAAAGACAGGCACTCTGCTCTAGCGGCTAGTGAGTTACAGACACCAACATTCAAGGCAGTTTTCTGGACCTTTATTTCAGAGGGTTGTGGTCTCTGGATCTGGCACTTCCCCTCTAGACAAGGCAGGCTGTCCTAGCAGCGACACACCCATCCCTGTGTCAACCTTCTAATGGCAAAACAGAAATGCTGCTACAGATCTTGGGTTAAAGACTTTGTCTTTAGGAAATCAGCAGATCCTTTTAGATTCAAGTGAATGTGCATCATAAATCAGAGCGTGCAACACAAATATCAGGTGTCATTACACCAGAGATAACCATTTTCTTCACACCCAAAATCAGGTGAAATTTTCATGGCATTCAATCAAGCAAATCTCACCCTGGAAAGCAAAAAGGTTATCTATATTACCTGGCACTTCTCTGTTGGAGATGTCGATGAAGAATGCTGCACAGAGAAGTTAGAATTCCTTTTCTTACCAAATCTACTCCTAAAGAAGGAAAATAATCACAGTAGATTAAATGTTTGCTTTTGAGACTCAGAGATCAAAATACTCTTTCAACAATGAACTTCTTCCTGGAAACATTTCCATTTGCATGGTTATTCTTTCACAGCCACGCCATTTCTGCTCTATCCCCCTCGACTCTTCCACACCACCCTCCTAGAAAGTAACTGCTGGCCGGGTGCAGAGGCTCATGTCTGTAATCCCAACACTTTAGGACGCCGAGGCGGGCAGATCACTTGAGGTCAGGAGCTCGAGACTAGCCTGGCCAACATGGTGAAATCCCATCTTTACTAAAAATACAAAAATTAGCATGGCATGGTGGCGGGAGCCTGTAATCCCAACTATTCGGGAGGCGGAGGCTGCAGTGGGCTGAGATCACACCACCGCACTCCAGCCCGGGTGACAGGGCGAGACTCCGTCTCCAAAAAAACAAAAAAAAAAGGAACTGCTGCATCTCAGAATGAGAACCACTCAGTTTCTTGTTCAAAAGATGATGGGAACCATTCTCAATTCCAGGTAGGAAAATCATTCTAAAAGAGCATACTGAATAACAAAGTAATTAATGTGTTTTGTAAATTGGCTAATTATCTCATTAAAGTTTAATCATTATCCTGGATCTCTTACTATTTTTAACAACACCATCTCTCAAATAAAACCAATCACTTCTCCTGAAGCCACTTTGGAAAACAGGGGATGAAAGCAAGTAGGAAGGCAAAGTTGTAACAGTATTTCTACAAGTCACCCAGATTTCGTTGCTATAATCTTTCCATGAGGGATTTATTCCTGAAGAGAAATAACATAAGCCTCCACACCTGCTCTGATTTTATTTCTAGCCTTAGTTGTTTGGCCTCCTTGCAAGTATGGCATGCAGCAATCTCTTACTTTGTTCCTGCTGGTGCACCAGAAATCCCCCTGTGGCCAGTCCAGGTGGGAACACCAGACACTGCTCCCAGACACCGCTGACGAGAGAGCCTCAGTGCTTTCAAGGCATCCTGAGCCACTCGGTTGGCTTCTGCTTCCACCAGTACATAATCTGGGCTGGCTCCATCCATGATGGCATCGTGCTTCATGACACTGTGCACGCCAACTAGCAAGAAAAGAAACAGCAAAGTGATATTTCACTTTGTACACAAGAAAGACACTTTTCTCCTCTGTATAAGTACAATATTGTGGTAGACAAAAAACAAAGTCATAGTAAACTTAGATAACCCTAGAGAATCAATGATAAAAAATAGTAAAATAATTCAGGCAACATAAAAAAATAAAATTCACATACAGAAACCTGCAACGTTCCTATTTACAAACAATAGCCAGCTAAAGATAAAATGGCAGGAAAATTCTACTTACAGTAACAGAAAAGACAAAACACTTAGGAATAAACCCAAGCAATGTGTAAAGCTTGTATGGAGAAGACATGAAAACACTCCTGGGAAGAGAGACCATCAGACTTAAACAAACAGAAAGATATCCCTTGCATTTGAGAAGAATGACTCAATAACCATTTTCCCTGAGTTAATTTATATGTTTAATGCAATCTCAATAAAAATATCAAGCTTTCTTATGAAGTTAGACAAACTGATATTAAAGTTCATATAGAAAAATAAACCTTCATGAATAGATCAGAAAACACTGAAAAGGCAAAGTGACACCCTACTGGACAATAAAACATGCTCCAATTACAACAGTTTGGTGCTGAGGAAGGAAGAGACACAACAGGAGACTGACCAGAAACTAGAAATAGATCGAACTACATTTGGAAATGTATTACATGATAAAGGCATCTCTCATCACTGAGAAAACCATATTTGAAATAAATGATGCTACAAACGTTGGGGCACAAATGTTGGGGCATTTTATCTTTGAACCAAGATAAAATCCACACCTCATACTCTAAATGGATCAGAAATCTGAATGTAAAAAGCAAAACCATACAAGTAGTACAAGAAAACATGGTGAATTATCATATGATCTATGTGTAGAAAAGGCTTAGAACTACAATTCCAATTAATAAAAGACTGACAAGTGTTTTTTTTTTTAAAAAAAAACCTGTTTCATAGGAAAAAAATTATCATAAGTAATAAAAGACAACCAATGAGGAAATACTTGTAACATATATGAAAAATGAAAAGTTAACATCCCTAATATATAAAGAACTCTTTAAAACCAAGGGGAAAAAGGGACCAAAAATCTGATTTAGAAAATGGACAAAAGATATGAACAGACAAATTCACATAAAGAAAAATTTTTTAAATATAAATGGTTCTATAAAAAGTTCAATTTCACTCAAAGAAAATAACTGCAAATTAAAACTTAATATATCTTTTCTCACCTATCAGACTGGGAAAAATTAAAAGTATAACACCACACTCTTGACAAGGCTCTGGGGAACAACTGCTGGTGACAATTCAAATTGATCTAAACCTTACAAAAGGGAGTTGGGCATTATTCAAACAAACAAAACAACCTTACATATGTGTTCACCTTTTGATCTAGCAATCTCTCTTGTACAAGCACAGGATTATTTAGTGCAGCATTGTGGCTGAAAGAAGCTATAAACAATCTAAATCCTCATATGTGGATAAAATATCTCTTAATCAAAATTCCTGGGACCAGAAGTGTTTCAAATTTTCACTTTTTTGGAATTTGGAATAATTGCATATACAAAATGAGACATCTTGGGGATGGGCCCCAAGTCTAAACACAAAATGTGTGTATTTTTAACATACACCTTACACACATAGCCTGAAGGTAATTTTAATATAATACGTTTATCAATTTTGTGCAAGAAACAAAGTGTTAACTGTGTTTTGACTGTGACCCATCACATGAAGTCAGGTGTGGAATTTTCCACATCTGGCATCATGTCAGTGCACAAAAGGTTTTGATTTTTGAGCATTTTAGATTTCAGGTTTTGGGTTAACATAGCAGAGCACTCTAGCAATAAAAATTGCTAAAGGAGGAATAGCTCTCTGTTAACTAATACAGGAGTGGCTGTCAGGATATATGAAGTTTTTTAAAAAAAGAAACAGAAGATAACATAATGTACAACCTTTTGTGTAAAAGAATAAGGGAATATGAAATTATACATGTGTCTGCTTATTTCCACAAAAAGAAACTGATACAGTTCAGCTGTGTCCCCACCCAAATCTCATCTTGAATTGTAACTCCCACAATTCCCACGTGACAAGGGAGGAACCCAGTAGGAGATGATGAATTATAAAGATGAGTCTTTCCTACACTGTTCTCATGAGTGAATGAGTCTCACGAGATCTCATGGTTTTAAAAATGGGAGTTTCCCTGCACAAGCTCTTTGCCTGCTGCCATCCATGTTAGATGTGACTTGCTCCTCCTTGCCTTCTGACATGATTGTGAGGCCTCCACACCCACATGGAACTGTAAGTTGATCAAACCTCTTTTGTAAATTGCCCAGTCTTGGGTATGCCTTTATCAGCAGTGTGAAAATGCACTAATACAGTCCATCTGTACCAGTGGGGAGGTGTGCTGCTGAAAAGATACCCCAAAATGTGGAAGCAACTTTGGAACTGGGTAACAGGTAGAGATGGGAACACTTTGGAGGGCTCAGAAAAAGACAGGAAAACATGGGAAGGTTTGGAACTTCCTAGAAATTTGTTGAATGGCTTTGACAAAAATGTTGATAGTGATATGAACAGTAAGGTCTAGACTGAGGTGGTCTCAGATGGAGATGAGGAACTTGTTGGGAAGTGGAACAAAGGTGACTCTTGTTATGTTTTAGCAAAGAGACTGGTGGCATTTTGCCCCTGCTGTAGAGATTTGTGGAACTTTGAACTTGAGAGAGATGATTTAGGGTATCTGGCGGAAGAAATTTCTAAGCAGCAAAGCATTCAAGAGGCGACATGGGTGTTGTTAAAGGCATTCAGTTTTATAAGGAAAGCAGTGCATAAAAGTCTGGATAATTTGCAGCCTGACAATGTGATAGGAAAGAAAACCCCATTTTCTCAAGAGAAATTCAAGCTGGCTGCAGAAATTTGCATAAGCAACGAGGAGCCAAATGTTAATCCCCAAGACAATGGGGAAAATGTCTGCAGGGCATGTCAGAGACCTTCATGGCAGCGCCTCCCATCACAGGCCCAAAGGCCCAGGAAGAAAAAGTAGTTTCATGGGCCTGGCCCACGGTTCATGCTGTGTGCAGCCTGGGGACTTGGTGTCCTGCGTCCCAGCCACTCCAGCTGTGGCTGAAAGGGGCCAACACAGAGCTCAGGCCATGGCTTCAGATGGTGCAAGCCCCAAGCCTTGGCAGCTTCCACAAGGTGTTGAGCCTGAGGGTACACAGAAGTCAGTAACTGAGATGTGGGAACCTCCACCTAGATTTCAAAAGATGTATGGAAACACCTAGATGCCCAGGCAGAAGTCTGCTGCAGGGGCAGGGTTCTCATGGAGAATCTCTGCTAGGGCAGTGCAGAAGGGAAATGTGGGGTTGGAGCCCCCACACAGAGTCCCTACTGGGGCACCACCTAGTGGAGCTGTGAGAAGAGGGCCACAGTCCTCCAGACCCCAGAACGGTAGATCCACTGACAGCTTGTACCATGCACCTGGAAAGGCTGCAGACACTCAATGCCACCCATGAAAGCAGCCAGGAGGGAGGCTATGCCCTGCAAAGCCAAAGGGGCGGAGCTGCCCAAGACCATGGGAACCCACCTCTTGCACCAGCGTGACCTGGATGTGAGACATGGAGTCAAAGGAGATATTTTGGAGCTTTAAGATTTGACTGCCCTGCTGGATTTCAGACTTGTGTGGGGCATGTAGCCCCTTTGTTTTGGTCAATTTCTCCCATTTGGAATGGCTGTACTTACCCAATGCCTGTACCCCTTTTGCATCCAGGAAGTAACTAACTTGCTTTTGATTTTACAGGCTCATAGGCAGAAAAGACTTGCCTTGTCTTGGATGAGACTTTGGACTGTGGACATTTTAGTTAATGCTGAAATGAGCTGAGACTCTGGGGGACTGTTGGGAAGGCATGATTGGTTTTAAAATGTGAAGATATGAGATTTGGGAGAGGCCAGAGGTGGAACGATATGGTTTGGCTATGTCCCAGCCAAATCTTATCTTGAATTGTAACTCCCACAATTCCCACGTCATGGGAGGAATCTGATGGAAGGTGACTGAATTATGGGGTCAGGTCTTTCCTGTGCTGTTCTTGTACTAGTGAATGAGTCTAATGAGATCTGATGGTTTTAAAAACGGGAATTTCTCTGCACAAGCTCTTTGCCTGCTGCCATCCCCGAAAGATGTGACTTGCTCCTCCTTGCATGATTGTAAAGCCTCCCCAGCGTGTGGAATTGTAAGTCAATTAAACCTCTTTCTTTTGTAAATTGCTCAGTCTTGGGTATGTCTTATCAGCAGTGTGAAAACAGACTAATACAGAAACACGTGAAGGAAATGCCAGAAACTCATGAGACTGGAAAGGGAAGGAAGGGGTGGGGACAGGGTGGGGGATGACACAACTCTGGTATTTCTTTTTGCATATTTTGTCTTTTGTTACTATGTTAATGTGTTGCTACTCAGAAGATAACATAGAGTCAACAAGGATGGGAGGAAACCCTAAAGTGGAATACAAACAAATAAATTAACCTAACTATATTTTAAATTGATAGCACACACTGAAAATACAAAGAAGAGAAAAAAGAACCAAGTTTTTTTTGACTCAAGAAGTGTTTTGACCAAAAACTTAAAGACAAAAATAAATAAAAACAAATACTGAACTCTAGTTAGTATAAATAAAAACAAATATTGAATTCTAGTTAGTATAACTGTTTTTGCCGTAGTTCAGGTTAGAAATTCTAAAAAACTACCATGTATCCTAGGATTGAGGAGTAACTCAGTACGTTGTGAATGAAGGTCTTGAAGAGGGAAGCTACAAACATGGAAAGGGCCCTAGGGCACTGAAATGAAATTGGAGACAACAGTATCCCCTCATTTTATTTTGCTTTTTGGAGCTTGTTAGAGTGTAACTGATATGCAGTAACTGCTAAAGTACAGAATTGGTAAGTTGTGACATTATGTACATACCATGAAACTATCACTACAATCAAGACAATGAACATAGCCATCACCTGTAAAACTCACGTCCCTTTGTAATCCCACCCTCAAATACCCCATCCCCAGACAACCAAGCCACTTTCTGTCATGACTGTGTTTTCTAGAATTTTATGCAAATGGCATCAGAGTATGTACTAATCTTACTAGTCTGAAAGTCATCCATGCTGTAGCATGTATCAATACTCTATTTCCTTTTATTGTTGAATAGTGTATATATATATATATATATTTTGAGATGGAGTCTCGCTCTGTTGCCCAGGTGGGAATGCAATGGTGTGATCTCGGCTCACTGCAACCTCCACCTCCCAGGTTCAAGCGATTCTCCCGCTCAGCCTCCCAAGTAGCTGGGATTCCAGACACCTACCATCATGCCTAATTTTTGTATTTTTGTAGAGACAGGGTTTCACCATGTTGTCCAGGTTGGACTCGACCTCAGGTGATTCACCCACCTCAGCCTCCCGAAGTGCTAGGATTATAGGTGTGAGCCACCAAGCCTGGTCTGTTGATTAATATTTGATCATACGGATATGCCATGGTTAATTTAACTATTTACTTGTTGATGGACATTTGATTTCTACATTTTGGCTATTACTAATAAAGCTGCTATGAATATTCACGTACAAGCCTTTGTATGGACATATTTTCCAGTTCTCTTGGGCAAATACACATCCAGGACTGAAAAGGCTATATCATAAGGAAGGTGCATGCCTAATTTTTAAGAAACTGCCAAACTGTTTTCCAAAGTGATTGTGCCACTTTACATTCCCACCAGGCGTGTATGAGAGACCCAACTGCTTCACATTTTTACCAACACTTAGTATGGTCAGTCTTCTTTCATTTTAGCCATTCTAGAGGGTGTGTAGTGGTGTCTCATTATGGTCCTAATTGGCATTTCCCTAATAATTAATAATATTAACAAGTTTCATATATTTATTTGCCATCTACATATCTTTCTTGGTAAAGTCTGTTCAAATTATTTGTCCATTTTAAAAACTGGGTTATACATTTTATTTATTTATTTTTTGACATGGGGTCTCACTCTGCTGCCCAGGCTGGAGTGCAGTGGCATGATCACAGCTCACCACAGCCTCAACCTTCCAGGCTCAAGCAATCCCTCCACCTCAGCCTCCCAGGTAGCTGGGACTGCAGGTGTGTGCTACCACACCCGGCTAATTTTTTTTTACTTTTTGTAGAGATGGGATCTGACCATGTTGCCCAGACCTGTCGCAAACTCTTAAGCTCAAGCAATCAACACACCTCAGCCTCTCAAAGCACTGGGATTACAGACTGAGCCACCACACCCAGCCAGTAATTTTTGATTGGGTTCCAGACATTGAGAATTTCATCTTGTTGGATGTTGGGTATTTGTATATTCCTGTAAACTCTCAGGTGGAGCTGAAGCAGTGCTCACTCCAAGGCTGATCATTCCCTACTACAGAGGCAAGACCCCCTACTCTGTCCTATACCCAATGCCCCATGAAATATTTTTCCAGTCTTAGCTGGTGGGAACAGGCACTATCCCTGGCCATGGGAGAGCACCAGACATCTCTCCTCTAATTCAAAAAGTTAAAGAGGAAAGGCCTTTTCACTGACCTTATGTAGTTTTCTTGCACAATGTGCTGGTCAGTATTCAGCTGAGTGCCAAAGGAGATTCTGCAGACCTGTGGGGTTCTCTCCCTGTGCAGAGCTGTCTCCTCTATCATCTCTTTCATGTGAATGCCAGCCACCCTGGCCTCCCCTGATGTTCGGCTCTGTTTTTTCAACAGAGGGTCTGCCTTGGACTCCCATCTGGTTTCTTCCTCTTTCTGTCACAGCATGAAAATTCTCTCAAGGCAGTAGGGCAGGGCAACTGGAGAGTTCAGTTCATTTGTTTCCCATCTCTCAAGAGATCACCGCCCTTTGGTGCCTGAAAACCAATGCTTCGTACGTTTTGTCATTGTTTTCATTGTTTCACATGGAAGGATAAATGTTAATCTGTCTTTGCTGGAAGCCAAACTCATGGTTTTTATAGACATAGAGATAGGTGTATCTGTGCAATTTGTTGTGCATATATATGCATGTATGTATATGTATGTACACAACAAACACATACACACACATACATACATCTATTTCCTGATGTTGGCTACAAAAGCAATGACATACTAGCAGCAATGAACACTCTGAGAACCCAGATCCTAGTTCCTAAATACCATTCTCCAGGGCTCCTTGAAGAAATGGCTGATTCCAGGGCTGGCACAGAATACCAATTGAGCTCAGCATATACTAGTATAGCAAGAAGAAAGGAGGTGCTCAAAGAATGGGGGGGACATACCAGAGGGACAAAGGAGCCTGCCTGAAGGAGCTCCCACCCACGAGGCAAATCTAAGACAATATGAGCATCATAATACCCCTACTAATGGATTACAGTTATGGAAAAAAAGAATCCATTAGTCCATACTGATCTAAAAATAAATTAATAAATAAATAAGGGAGAAGGAAAACCTTCCTTATAGTAGAATGTTAATCACCACTTGGCAATCACTGTAGTAATAACTGACTGAGGAAAGAATCATCAATGGATATTAAAACTAGTGGATAAAAGTTGGATGAGAAACAGGATATTTACACAGTCTCAAAGCATATTCCTTGAAAGTACAAATTAATTACAAAGGGAAAAATATTAACATTAGCATTGAGAAACCTGGCAGACTCCACCTTAATCTTGAAAATTAACTTGTACTAGGTCAAACCACCATGTGTCTCCTGACAGATGCATTGAGTAAGATACAGTATCACCTCTGTGGTATTCCTGCCAAAAAAAACAATGTATGCATAGATGGGTGTGTGTGTGAATGATAAAGCAAAAGCTGAAAAATGTTAATAACTTAGGTAAAGGATATAGGAGAGTTCTTCGTATTATTCAAACTGATTTCTTTAAGTTTGAAATTACTTCAAAATATGAAATTAACAAAAAAATTAACCATGCTAAATAAAAGTCTTTCTGAAATGCTACACATAAACCTGCCTTCTTAAACTGAGTGCCATAAGCAGCAATCTTTGGTAACTCAAGGTCATGACATTGTGAACACAGTGACTGCTAAGGGATCACTAAGCAGGGCTATCTATACTCCATGGTCTTGAGCAATTGTTGAGTCTACATCTCCTAACTTTTCTCCCTTGACGTAAGTTATCAGCTTTCGTACTTCTAGAATGTCTGTCTCTAGCCACAAGCCTGTCTCTTTCCCTTATAATGTTACTTTAATCTCCTATGGTTGGAAAATCAGATTAATGTAGCACATAGCATGTAAAGTAACTGCCTACTAATGTTCAGGTAGTACACATCTATTTAAGAATTGCACACTTCCCATAAGTGGCCATAAGTACTACCGTTTTCCAAAGTTTCAAATTCTTCTAGGTCTTCAGAAAAGAGGCGTAAATACAATTTTTAAAATGTCAATATATTTCAAATCTAAATTTTTGAAGAAAAACACTTCTGGCTGAGAGCCCTCTATGCACCATCAGTTAAAGACTGCTACTGCTAGAAACAGCCTACTCATTTTCTGGTCCTAGCATCCCTGTGGCAAATGTATCAAATGGATTACCTGATTTTTTGAAAAGCTTTTCCAAAACATAATCATCATTGCTCTGTTCCTTGGCCTCACTCTTGTTTTCACTATCTTGCTTCTGGTAACGCCTTTTCTTCACCAGGTGCGGAATTCGAGTTCCTTCAAACTTGGCGTCTCTGCAATGCTTAGGGTTCTTAGGCTTTTGCTTTGGTCTCAGATGCTTCTCTAGGGTCTCTTCTTCTGCCACACTATGATGTTTTGTTTTTGACTTGTGCTTATAAAAATTATTTTCCATTTGTTTATTCTCCCAAAAAGATTCTGTTTGAGCCTGGCTGGGTCTTTCTCTTTTGTAAGAAAGACCCAACTTTTCATCAATGCTTTCATCACCAGATGGCCTGGAAGTTTTGCCTGTTCCTGAAGAATTTGAACATTCCCGATTTCCACTAATCACTGACGACTCTTCCAGTCCAGATACTGCATTTGTCTCTCCTCCAAGCCTATCATTGCTAGCTATATTACTACTCATGTGAGGGTCATCTTTCAAAGGATCACTTTGATTAGAAGGTACTACATTTACTTCAGCTCCTTTAGCCTCAGATTTCTCTTCAGATGATGTGGCATCATTTATTGATATGTTAGAAGCAGGGAACTTTTTGCGTTTTGGAACATCATGGTCTGCTCCAAAGGCTGGTTGAATCTTTCTTTTTAGATGGCATTTGGGTGTCTGAACATCTGATCCAGTTCCTGTAGAGGAAAAACACCGCTAATACTATATTGTATCATCTTGTGCAATTGATTACTTTAAATTAAATGATTTTATGTAATACCTGCAAAAATCGCACTTGTTTCAGTGCTCTGGGATGCATCAGGGCTAGTCAGAGTAAATAGCTCATAGAGATCATTGGATTTGAAAAAACGCCTTTGTTTTGGGTCTTTTAGCACTCTATTTGTCAAAAACTGCTTGAAGATTTGTCTAAAAAAATAAAAGATAAGCTGGTATAAAACAATGTGTAGCTCTACCTAAAAATTCAAGTTATAAAGCAATATAAGAGAGATACGATAACAGCTGCTGCATGAATGGCTAAATAATCCCCCAAATTTTCAGCCTTGGAAAATTACAATTCAGAAAATATATAATACATCAGTTAATCTCCCACATCTTGCAGAATTTAAATTAGAAATAATACCTTATTATTTACACCAAATGAGCTTTTTCAACCTCTAAGATCTAATCCATTTCAAGAAACACCTTTTCACATGCCATCATGTGACTCATAGCCTCTCTTAGCCTCCCTGACTTGAATACCAAGGGTCCTGCCCTGCCTAGAACCTTCCTATCATAGGGCTCAGCAAACTCTCTTACCTGGGCTTTGCAACATCTCCACTCTGACCTCTCTCTCCCTGCTCCCACCTGCAGGTCCACACTCTGCTGAAGCCCCATGCCACTGCCACTCTGGAACAGGCATCTCCACCAGCCACACTGTCCCTCTCTGTCATTTATTCTCCTGGCTAAAGCATAAATCTGTAAGAGGAAGCTCTATTCTCACAGGATCCAACTCGTCCTCCACCCTCACACAACAGTCCCTTGAGGAAGATGTAATGTTCCCAGCATGTGATGAAGGGCATAGAACTTCCTATAAAAGCTGGGCTATGGCTCAAGGAGAGTCTGTGGTGGGGGAGTGGGAGAAGCTGGCAATGTGTTGAAGTTACCACTGTCTAAAATCCCCTAGTCATTACAGAAAGACAGAGGAAGAAACAGGCATCCTGTCAACTTCTTTGTAAGGGGCCTCAGAGTCAAAGACCGCCAGAACACCCACACTGATCCCACCTGCATAGTATGTGTAAATACCAATATGGTAACATTTAACCTTGTCACTTTTTAAAATTTTTCTGAAGGCAACACACCATAGTAGGCAGAAATATTCCTTTCAAATAACAATACGAAGTTTACACGTACGTGATTCTTGAGGTAGAATAAGGTACAACAATTATCAGGTTCAAAGACATTTTCTGACAACTCACAGTAAGCCATCTAAGCATATTTTAAAGGGAAAGAAAAAATACAAAACAAAAACCAAAACCTTAACTTATAGCAACTATTACTCTAAGATGTTAAGACTTTTAAAAATAACACTTTGGAAAAATTCCCTGCTCAAGACTCTGGGAACGCACAACCAAGAGCTGCCGTCGTGTGCACTGACCGGTGGTAGATCTTTTCTTCAATGGTGCCCGCAGTGAGGAGCCTGTACACAGTCACCTGCTTCTTCTGGCCTATTCTCCATGCTCGCTCCCGGGCCTGTGGCAGAGAGAGACCTCTCAACAAGAATCCTTCCCAATGACAAGCACTGACTATAAGAAACAAAGCTAGCCGGTCACAACCTTTCACTCCCAGAGTCAGAATTTTGACTCGTGATGTCAAGTACACCTAAGGCCTACTCAGGAAGATGAAGAGCCAGTTGACAAGACATCTGTACTTGAAAAAAATGTTTGTAACTATGCCTATGTTCTTTTTGCCCCAACTCTAGGAAAGAATGCTATGGATAAACTGTTGAAGATGGTTCCTGTCCACGTGGCTCTGAAGGGTGTCTTCTTCCACGTTGAAGAACAGCAGACAACCAAAATGTGAAATGTACTCTGAAGTCAACCAGAACATCAAAGGACAGTCACAAGCACTAACCATGAAACTATATTTCTACTAACATATTCTTTTCTTAAAAAAATAAAAAACAAACCTGTGTGTCTGTGCTTGGGTTCCAGTCGGGGTCATAGATGACAACTCTGTTGGCCCCTGTCAGGTTGACACCTAAACCGCCCACCCGCGTGGTCAGAAGAAACACAAATATGGATGTGTCCTAGAGGTAAGACACACAACACTGAGCACACACACTTAAAACCAGTTATAGCTCTCAGCCTCTGCCTCCACATACTGTACACACGGAACTACTGGGCTGTTCCCAATACAAGGAATGGTAATGTCCTAGAGACCTCTGGTGAATCAAAATCTCATTTCACACCTTTTAATATTTAATAGAAATATTGAAAAATTGGGTTTTTAGGAGGAAAATACATTCTGTGGAAAACACATTCTTTGTTTGAACACACACATGCCCACCCCCACCCCCAAATATCTAGAAGTGCACAGAGTTAAAAGCAACAAGTCTTCCCTTAGGCCCCCTCCCAAGCCCAGATGTCAACGCTGCTTCGGTGGGTAAGGGTGTGGATACGCTTAGTCCTTTCCCTCCACGTACAGCAGCACCGCTCAACTTTCCTGTTACATTCACATGTTACCTCATTGTATCTTGTAATCAGTGGCTGTCTTGAAGCTATTGTAGTGGTACCATCCATCTTGAGATAGGTATACTTTTGGGCTCTAAGGAATACTTCAAGTATGTCCAGCATCTGTTTGGAGGTGGAGGATAGGAATTTGCAAAGCAAATACACATTCCCAGTGAGTGCTTCTCTATTTGTGTAAATGGTCACACCTTTCCCCAACAGGCCTATGTTAAAAGGAGTTTCTTGCTTTAGGACAGATAAACAGAACTGTTAAAATAGTAGTTTTGGTATATCCGTATGGTTAATTCTTACTTTTGTAAACAGCCAAAGCTCAGGCCTAAACTCACTTGCAGACCAAAATCACATGGTGAGCTTTTTTAAAAAGTCAACTTTTAGATACCAACTCTAGAGAAAGATCTAAACTCCCAAAGAAATCGGCAGACTGCCACCTCAGCATCAGTGGTAGACTTGCTTCAGAATCATTACTCTAGACTGAATCCCATTTTGTGAGTTGATGGCTGTCATAAAGAACCAGCCTGTTTCCTGTCTGAAGTCTGTGCACTCACCTGCCTTGACTGAGAAAACAGCAATACTCGCTGACCCTGCTTGTGCCATATTTTCAACAAAGATTCAACAACAATCATTTTCCCAGAACGTTTCCAGTACCCAAACTGATCTTCTTCTAGTTCATCATCAGGAAGACCTTTGAGATTCTTGGGACCTCCAGAAAAGAGATCAGGGTGGTTGCAAATTTTTCTTAGGGCTATGAGTCCGGAGAAAATCTATGATAAAAAAGACCATATGTACACTCAGATGACCCCATGTAAAGTAAGATTCCCTAGGCAAGGAGGCTATTCAACCTATAACACAGACTAAAAAACAGGTCTCCACCAGTTTCTTAGTCTTCTCTAATCACAGCATTATCAGGAGCTGGGAGAAATTAACTTTCACTCATCTTGTTTCCCTGATAGAACAAGTTCTCGGAAACAAAAAAATTCTACTGGACTGAACACGTCTACAGGGGTCATATACAATTGCTGACAATTCATTTTCCCTCACTAGAAAAAAGGCATGCTGTTCACAGCATTATAAACTTAATATAAAAAAGGAACTTGCCTTTTAAATATAGATCAGAAATGTCCTATCAACCTAAACTTGAAGACATCAGTCATGTGACTTATCAAATGCATTTAAATATTACACTCCTAAGTACCTCACTAAAAGTTCTGCAGTTTAATATGAGTCAGAGGTTGAGGATCCATTTACCTTTAGACTATTATTATATCCGAAAAAAAAAAAAAAACTGCATGAAAAATGCACGAATCGGAAACATATGAAGTATGGTCCATGCAGAAGGGCACAGAAGATGAGGGGTGAGTGCCCCTGGCCCATCCCCACAAAAGGACATTAACAAAACTTCAATAATGGGGCTCTTCCAGCCTTGAGAGGATGACTCAAATCAAACTCACTGGTATAAAAGCTTGAGCAAAAAAAGGAGAAATCACCATTAAGCCAATAATCAAAGGGTAGGGTAGCTATCACTAGTAAACAGCAATTAAACAGATTAACAATAAATGATCTGAATAAGTCAGGAACACTGGCAAACCTCCCCAGAGTCATCCGTGACTCATTTTTCTTCCTTTCAATCTGCACTGTCCAATGCAGTAGTCGCTAGTCACACGTGGCTCCCGAGTACATGAAGGGTAGCTAGTTCAAATTGTGATGCGCTGCATTTGTAAAATACACACCCAATTTCGAAGACAAAAACAGGAGTAAAATATCTTGCTAATCATTTTTAATTTTTGATTACATATTAAAATGTATTTTAGATACATTAGGTCAAATAAAATATATGATCAAAATTAATTTCACCTGTTTCTCTTTTTCCTTTTTAATGTGACTACTAGAAAATTTACAATTCCAAGTGTAGTTTGCATTCTCTCTCCTGGATAGTGTGATCTAGACCTTCTAACTTGGAGAGACCTGAAGAAGTTAAGGGGAGATTCATGGAGACGAACAGATGTGAATGACTGAAAAAACCTCCTGTAGCTACCAATAAGAAATGAAATAAGAAATTGTGAGAGATGGTTAAAAGAAATGAAATGACCTAATCACACTCACATTAATAGAGTCTTTTGGAGAAAACACTAGCTAGGAACTTCTGAAATCTGGACACTAGTAGAAAGAGAGCTTTCTCAGTATTGAAAGGAACAGAATCACCATAAATAAACTACTGTCCTACCCCGGGGACAATGAGTATTAGAGCCAGGGACATTTGAACTAGATTTATATCTGGTTCCTAATATGGCAATGGTTCATAAACATTTATTGGGGAATAGGGCTCCTTTAGGAAGCTGATAAAAGTTATGAATCCTCACGATCCTCTCCACAAGATATATAATTTTGGTCATAATATCTGGGAATACCCAGTTATGTACCTGACACTTGCCCACCTACCAAGCAAGACCCTCGGAAGTAACAGTAACTGCACAGCTCGCAGCTGCATTTGCGTCTGGGTTCAGATCCACAGTGCACAGCTCTGCAACCTTCCACCTTCCACCAGTTACCTAACTCCTCTGCACCTTACAGCTCCAGGCCATAGGCTGACTGCACATCTACCATGCAGGACTGCATGCAAGTGAAGTGAGATGACAGTATGTGAAAAGCCTGGCATACTATAGATCCTAGTTTCTTTTCCTCCCTCGCTTCCCTTGGTCCACAATTCATTTCTCCAGCTTCTATTTTTTAGCTGACCTGCATCTCTCCATTGAGAATCCTGTAAACTTCTTTGGAATCAACGAAATTTTGGTAGACTTTATGCTGCTCATCTGTAAGACGGCAAAATAAGACCTACGGAGGGGAAAAACAAGGAAACTATAATTTCAAAAAAAAATTAACAGAAATAATTAAAATATCAACAAAACTTCCCGATCAAAAGAGCACAATGCATGCGATTTTAATGATATCCCTATAATTAATATGAAAACAACAAAGGGTGATAATACTTCTCACCATACCCTCCATCTCTGTCACTCATCTACCTCCAGGGCCCACCCCACAGTCCCCAAAGACTGGCTTCCTGCTCACGAGCAAGTTCAGGGCCCAGGTGCACAGACCATCCTCCATGTTAGCCTCCAAGTGCTCAAACCATCCCACCTCCCATGACCCATGCCATGCTCTACTCGCAGACCTGACCAGAGACCACAACCTCACCTGGAGCTCTCCCTTTCCTGGAGCTCTAAGTGCAGGCCCATGAGTTACCAGACTCGCCTTGGAAGGCAATCCCTACCCTCCCAGCCCACTGCACCAACCACTCCATGCCATCGTGCTCTGTGACCCTTCACCTCTCAACCCTCCCTCCTTCGTGAAGTCCACTACCACCAGTTACATTCCCATGGATGCTCATTTAGCTACCCCTCTGTCACCTACCTGGACTGCTTTCAACTCCCTGCCTCTTCCCTGTAAACTTCCAAATACAGGTCAACTCAACCATCAGTCTTCTGTAGGCCTATGGTCAGTGCCGGTGCTGCTGGAGAAAAGCTCCTACCCGGCAGCTTCCTGCCATGGCCTGCCCTGCTCCAGGGGGTCCTCTACGCATGCCCACCCAGAGCCTTCCATAAGCCCAGAGCAACTGTGCCCATGCTCCTCACCACCTAAGCCACCCACACCTCTGTCTCAACTTCTACTTAAAAACAATCAGACAAATAAAAACAAAATGAAAATCAAACCTGAACCTACCAGGATCAGGCATGATTCCCTGGTTTTCACTCCCTAACATGTCTCTACTTCTGCATCCACCTCATCTTCCTTTATTCCCAAAGAAAGAGGTTCCTGAACGGGATGGAAGGCAACGCTTCAACCTCTGCACTGCATCTGAAGACCCACTCATTCTCCTCAGTATAGTGTGCCTCACCTGTTAGCCTCCAAGTGGAAGATGGGGGCTTCCCTGAGAAAATAAGGTACAATCCCCACCTCCACTTCCTCACTTCCACTCACTCATGAAGCCTACACACAGAGGAAGCCTCACATGCACCTCTGTTGATGTCACTGAGGCATCACTCATGACTTCCTAGTGGCCAAACACACTGGGTCCTTACCAGGTCACCCTACTCACCTTCCGACGCCCAGGCCTTCACTTCTGCTCATGCACCTGTCTGCGCCAGCCTCCCCAGTCTTCCCAGCTAGCTCCTCCTCTTCTACCCTCCTCCTTGCTCTCAGCCCTGACCACACTGGCCTCCCTGCTGTCCATGGAGGCCCCAAAGCACTGCCACAGCCCACCATCTGCAATGCTCTGCCTTCAAAACCTATATGACTTGCTCCTTCGCCTTCTTTAGGCCTCTGCTCAAGTGTCAGTTCATCAAAAGTCTTCTCTGACCATCCCTTATAAATGGCCCACTTCCCCAAATCCTTGCCCTCAGCATTCCCAGCTTATCCTTCAACCCTGCTTCATTTGTCTCCACACTTACTGCTGCTACCTGACATCTTCTAGAGTTTCTGTGACACTCTCCCTCAAGAATAAATGTGGGTTCCCACAAGAACAAAACTTGCTTTGTTCACTGCTATATCTCAGAGCCTAGGATCATGACAGGCACATGGTTGGCACCTAATATAATTTGTAGCATGAATGAATTAGGGGCTTAAGGAGAATGGAGATGTTTAAAAGAGCAATTGTAGGAACCCATGTGTCAGTAAGAGGGAGGTCAAAGCCTGTGGACTAGAGAAGAATCCACTGAGGGCAGACGCCACAGCAGGCCTAGCCTGACCACAGTTCCAGGATCATACCTCACCAGACTCACCCACAGAGGAGAATCAGAGTGAAGAGAAAGGCACACTTATGCTTTAGGAATGCTTTGTTAACTCCTGGATTTACAGACCTGTTCATTTTTATCTGGCAAAGAAAGGCTCATCTTGACATCTGACTTCATTCTCCGTAGTAGATATGGATTTATGGTATCTCGTAATACACATGCACACTTGTAAGCAGTTTTGACCTTTAAAAAGAGCAGAGAAGAGAACAATACCATACACGTTTAAGGAATGTATTTGTTCTTACCTCTCAATAGATTCCATTCCTTAAAAAAAAATAAAAGAATGACCAACAGCTGTACAAAGTCAGTGGGAAATGATTGCAAAATGGTTTGAAAAAGCTAGCATAAGTTCCATATACTCCAAGGGGTGGTAGCTTTCATAATACTATCAGTTAAAAAAATTATCTCATTAACCACAATGTACAACAAAACTGATAATTTTGTGCCTTATTTCTCTTGTACACTTTCTTTTAATTATTACTGTACAGTTAAACCCTAAAGTAGAGACTTATTGGGTTCTTGACCACCACCCCTAGGGGAAAAACTGCTTTTGTACAAATCTCTGTTTATGATCTTGTATTCTCCAAAAGCTACAAAGGCACTCTGTAAAGCTGAAGATCAAAAGCTAACTCTAGGGAAAAGCTGCAGTGATGGAGCAGCCAGCCAATAAGCAGAGATTAGTGCCCACTGGAGACTTACAAGAGTAAGTTCAACAAGAGCCCTCTGATCCTAGAAACGAAAGGTCACTCTGCCCTAAAATGCAGCATATGGTTCTGTAATGGAGCACGGCCACATGAGATGAGTACTAAATATACGCAAAAAACAAAGCCCCACAGCCCAGAAAACCACTCCCTCTGCAATTCACTTACAGGCAAAGCAGTCAATAAATTATTGCTACTTCAAAAAAAAACTAAATAGGCTTAACAACTTAGTAAATTACTATTTCATGGAAAAAATTCCAACCAAAGTTTCAATTTAAGAAAGTCAGTTGTAAAATGAATGATAATAAAAAAGAGCTTGACCACACAGAAAAAAAGTTAAAAAATTAACTTGTTAAAAAATATTTTTAAAGAATGCTAAAAATACCTCACTCATGCACATATATGTATGTGTATCTGTTGTGTGAACGCATGTGCATAAATATTAAAATAGGCTTTACTTGGAATAATACATAAAAAAGCTCAACTAATCAATGACTTTTATTTATATATAACCCCTTAAATATATCATTCAGACATTGATAAAAATCACCTTGAAGATAATGATGAGGTACCTATTACTATTTCTGATGCAGAGATGATGAAATTTCAGAATTTAAAAACACAGTCCCACCAAGGAAGCATGAATGTACAGTCTGTAAAGAAAACTGCCCCCACATCCTTCCTCCGCCCACACCCCCTTCCGCAGAAGAATGAGCATGATGGTTGGAGGTGCTGGTTAACTACACCAGGGCTAGGCTGGGGAGCGGCCGGGCTGTGGCTCCTGCTCTTTCCTGCATGCCACCCCACGGAGATGATCTTCTGTTTCACTCCCAACTGGCTCCCAGTCTGTTTCTCTGTTCATAAAAATACAAGGTGGGATCCAGCTAGATTTCTCTACCAATGCTCACATCCCAGTGCTGTGGAAAACGGACACCTTGCTGAGCATGCCCACGCTACTTCCTACTCTGACAAGGAAGAGTTCTGCCTCTTCCTGAGCACAGTGGCCTTAGGCAAGTCACCAGAACGCTGGGAATCAAAAACCTTGTGTGTGGAATGAAGAGGGTCAACTAGGCATCTCTACAGGCTCTTCTCAGTTCTCACATGCCCTGCCCCAGCTGAGCACACCAACCCCAGCAGCAGTCTGTATTTGGGCTGCTGACATGCTCCCCCTCACCTTCCTCACCTTTCAGGCCCCAGCTTAGTCATCCCTTCTCCAGGAAGCCTTTCTGAGCTCCATAAGCTCTGACACTGGGCATCTCCCCTGATCACAGTTGTCACTGTCCTGTACTGGGACCAGGTTTATTTGCCATTTTCCCCTGTGCCCACCCCTACTGGACTGGAAATACCTTCATGGGAAGGTTCTGGTTTCCAGCTCCTGCCATCATTTTAGCACCAGCATGACAGAATAAATATCGGCACACAGACTATCTTCTTAGAATTCAATAATGCACGGCAACATGGTTTTTTTTTTTTTTTTTTTTTTTTTGAGACGGAGTCTCGCTCTGTCGCCAGGCTGGAGTGCAGTGGCCGGATCTCAGCTCACTGCAAGCTCTGCCTCCCGGGTTCACACCATTCTCCTGCCTCAGCCTCCCGAGTAGCTGGGACTACAGGTGCCCGCCACCTCGCCCGGCTAGTTTTTTGTATTTTTTTAGTAGAGACGGGGTTTCACCATGTTAGCCAGGATGGTCTCGATCTCCTGACCTCGTGATCTGCCCATCTCGGCCTCCCAAAGTGCTGGGATTACAGGCTTGAGCCACCGCGCCCGGCAACATGGTCTTAAACAAAAAGGAGCAAATACAACCAATGCTCTGCTTTCAAAGATCTCACCCGCTAGGAAGGGGAGAAAGATAAGTACACAGATTCCTGAAACAAGAACTTCGAGGAAAAAATAGATCATAATGACATGTTCTCAAATCATTTTTCTATAAATGACTTATTAATGTCAAAGGAGAAGTGGTAACTTCACAGAGTTTAGATCTGGCCAACACCAACTTAAAGTAATCAGAGTTAACATCACCCATAGTGGGACAGACAGACAGCATGTTCCTCCAGATACCACACACTGAGGAAGACACATCATTTCTGTGATATTCCTGGTCAAAATGTATAACCTGAATCCAATCATGAAAAAATGTAAGGCAAACCCAAACTGAGGTACATTCTACAAACTAACAGGCCTATAGTCTTTAAAAATGTCAAGATAATGAAGGGCAAAACAAACGGTCCCAGATTAAAGGAGACTAGAGACACAGAAACTACTGGAACAACTGACAAAATATGAGTGATTATAGACTAGATAACAGACTCCTATCAATGTTAAACTTCCTTCTGATTTTGTTGCTTACACTGGCTATGTAAGAGGCTATCCTTGTTCTTGGAAATACACACTGAAGGATTTGGAGAAACGGGCATCAGATCTGCAACCTGCCCTCAGATGGTTAGAAAACAGTAACTTCAGCTGTGAATCTACATGGAAAGAAGTGCGGGAGAGGGAGGGGAGGAATAGTAAAGCCAATGTGGCAAAATGTTTGCAAAATGCTAACAATCAGTGAATCTGGGTAAAGTGTTAAGAGGGTTTTCTTGTTTGTTTGTTCTTTTAAAATTCTTACAACTTTTTGTTAAGTTTGAAATTATTTCAAAATGAATTTTTTTTGAAAAAATAGAATGGTATAATGGGAGATTGAGAGAAAGAAGAGAGTCCTTACAAAAGTTAGCTGAAAACAATTCAATCTCAAAATGTAAAAGATGTTAAAATTGTTTCTGACAATCTTTTAATCTTAAAGGTCTAAAATTCTTTTTCTAATTAAATATTCCAAAATATAAGAGCTTCTCTTTTGGTGGAAAGTCTCATCCCTGGCTCAGCCATGACCTGGTAGGCACAGGCCAACACAAGAAGGGCTGCCGAGAAACCCTGCCTCCCATCCAGGCTGTAGCCTGCCCTACAAGCCACAAACTGCCCTGTGGCTAACTTTACCTCCTGGCATTTCTGCTTGTGACCACCCCATTCCATCAGGTGCCCGGGCCTGAAACCTCAGGAGTCAGTCAGTCATTCACAGCAAGCTTAGCCCCTACTCCATCTCCTCGATCCTATCAGCCTCCAAACCTTGTTTGTTCTGCCTAAAAATGCCACCTGAGTCTCCTGCCCCACCATCTTTCTCAGACCACCACCCAAGATCAGGTACAGGTCCTCATGGCCCTCACCCCAGTGGTTCCTGCAGGTCACTCAGTGCCAGCCTCCCTCCTGTGACTACCCTGTAGCATGACGAACCCCTGAGAACCAGCATCTTCCAGAGTCCTGCTCAGACACTTTCAGTAGCCCAGTCCTCCCCGAGTGCCACTGCTTCCCTTTCAAGGCCCTTCAGTTCTGGCATCCACAGCTTTCTAGCTATGCCCCCACAAGCATCTCCGATCCAGTCAAGTGGGTCTCTTCACTGCCCCCAGCCACATATGGTGGCTGCATTCACACTGTTGCCCTAATCAAGGATGCCCTCACCCTCCATGGCCTACAATCCCAGAATCAGGTTAAGGGCCATGTCTCATTAAATCATCCCTGAACAGTCCGATCCTCCTGGTGTTTCTAAGTTTCTCCACCACTTTATAAGATGCACTACCCCAATTTGCAGAACTAAATTACATGCTGTTCCAAATGATTTGTCCTTGTTTCATAATTTCTAACTGCTCTTCTGACCACATGTGACATCTTTTTAAAATTTGTTGTCTGACTAAAACATCCCAGGAACAATGCCAAAACTGTTTAATTTCCATTAAACAAAGAGATATTTTATTCTAGGGCTTTCCTCTCTGTGAATATTTTTCATGATATTTTAAGTAAAAAAATACGATCAAGCAAAAATAATTTTGTGATTTTTTTTAAATCAGATACCAATTTATAAGCCTGGCCATCTTTCTCACATTCTGAATGACTTGGCTACAAATTATAGTATTTAATAGGAGCATTTTAAATACTAAACTGCCAAAAGTATTATCATCCTAATATATTACCTGTACTGGGGAAGCATTTGAATATCCCCCCATGGTGATGGGGACGGAGAACTGCTCCATAAACACAGGCAACGTGCCTAACTTTCCCGGGAAGATGAAGTCAAAGAGTGACCACAGCTCTCGGAGGTTATTTTGCATTGGTGAGCCAGACAGGATGATCCGATGAGGGGTGCGAAACTATTTGAGGAAAGGAAACACCTTTTTATTAAATTTACCTTTTAGCAATCACCATTCCTACCCCAAAATGCTCCTCTGCAATATTATTTACACATTTACTCATTATTCTTGCATCATTTTGGTACTCTCTAAAACATACACATTTTATGCAATTACAAATCCTTAATTACATTTAGATGAAAAAATTACAAAGAATTTTTTCTTATTGTTGAAGCTGAATACTATAGAGTTGGGTTTGGTTACATTCTAACAACTGGCCCCTACAAGAGACACTAAATAACGTGAATAATCAGAATTAAAGACATGATCAAGGGCAAAAAAAATAAGGAGTTCTTTGCATTAACGAAAATGCATATTTTAAATTCCTTGTGCAGTTGGCACAAGAAAAGATTAATAAATGTGTTACTAAAAGCAGATCGTTTATTCTGAATTAAATATTCTTCTCCACCTGGAAATCTCCTTTGTTATAAGAGGTCATACCTGTTTGCAAGCAAGGGTGACAGCAGCATTTGGATTTCGAATTTTGTGTCCTTCGTCCAAGATCACATAATGCCAGTCATACCTGCTAATGTCATCCTGCATCAGTCGAATGTAGGAGTAAGATGTGATCAAAATTCCATGACAATGAGCAACATCTCGAATTAGTTTCTCCTAAGACCATAATAAAATGGTAAAGTCAGTTTTAAATAAGAAGTGACACCCTTTCAATCATGACACAATCTAAAGCACTTTATAAAAATGCATAAATACAAACATAACATGTACAATCATAGACATTATCAGCACTGGAAGTGTATTTGTTAACCTGGCAAGTAGTAAACAGTCATTATTGGGGGAAGGAGACTCTCAAAAAGATGACAAAGTTATAATACATATTTATATAAATATATACATATATTAAATTTTTATTTTTATTTTTTCAAAACATCCTTTGTGTCCATCCTTGTTAAAACAACAATGTGAATGGAAAATATATTAATTTAAAACAAAAGCAAGAAAATAAGAGAAAATCCAAAGACACACGGCAGACAAATCTAGGATCTCTAACAATGTATAACAGGAATTCCAGGACTAAGTGGAAAGGATATAAAAGCAATGATTTTTAAATGATAGAAAAAAAGCCAGTACAGTGGCTTACACCTGTAATCCCAGCACTTTGGGAGGCTGAGGTGGGTGGAATTCTTGAGCCCAGGAGTTCGAGACCAGCCTAGGCAACATGGTGAAAGCCTATCTCTACTAAAAAACTTTAAAAGTTAGCTGGATGTGGTGCCAAGCACCTGTAGTCCCATCTACGCAGGAGGCTGAGGTGGGAGGATCCCTTGAGCCCAGGAGGTCAAGGCTGCACTGAGCGGTGATGGCACCACTGCACTCCAGCCTGGGTGACAGTCAGACTCTGTCTCAAAAAAAAAAAAAAAAAAGAAAATGATAGAAAACAATCTCCATAAATGGAGCCGAGATTTGAATCTACAGAACAAAACATCTCCCAGAGTGTCAGGCAGAGACACTAAAAAAAAGACATATCTGTAGACGTAGCTTACTAGATGTCTGAATTCCAAAAATAAATAAAAACAGCCAGGCAAAGTGGCTTATGCCTATAATCTCAGCACTTTGGGAAGCTGAGGGAGGAGGATCTCTTGAGGCCAGGAGTTCAAGACTAGCCTGAACAACAAAGCAAGACCTGTCTCTACAAAAAATAAAAAATTAGCAGTGCATGGTGGTATACAGCTGCAGTGCCAGCTACTCAGCAGGCTCAGGCAAGAAGATCCCTTGAGCTCAGGAGTTTGAGGCTACAGTGAGCTATCATCTCACTACTGCATTCCAGGCTGGGCGATGGCGCGAGATCCTGACTCAAAAGAGAAAAATACTTTTAAAAATAAGAAGAAAGTGTCATACATTCTAGTCAGAACGAAACAGAAAAAGAAAATATTCCCTTCAGAGGAAAAGGACTGCCTGCATCAGACATCTTTTCTGCAGCACTAAAAATGTCCGAAGGCTAAGAGGAAAATCTTTACATAATTCTAAGAAGGAAAAGTGGTGACCATAGATTCTACATCAATCCAAACTAGCAGTCATGCTTGACGAAGAAAATAAACAAATTCCAGCTTCAGATAGGAAGGACTTGGAAGATCAGTCACCAACAGATTGGCTAGCTACCGTGCACTGTACCCAGACAGTGGAGTGGCGCAGTCATGGACAAAGAGGAAGGCATGCACAGACGCTGTGACCTGAAGAAAGACAGCAATGCTCCCGCCTCGCATCCTCACCACAGCCCATGCTCACAGCAGCTCCCCAAGGAAGGACAGAGGGGCCATCACTAACTCCATTTTACAGATGAGGGAACTGGGGTTGGAGATGGTAACTAATGTACCAGGTCATGCAGCTGCTAAGTGGTGGAGTCAGAATTCAAATGGAGAAAGGTAGCCAAATCCAAAGCTAGTACTACTGATATTAGGCTACACTACCTCCTACTAAAATATAAAAGAAAAAATTTAAAAAGAAGATTATATGTGATATACATACCATTTCTTAAAATAAATCATTAAAGCATAACAATAAAGCCTAAATATTAAACACTTAAATATGAATGAAACTGTTAAGAAATGATCTAAAATATTAAAAGGTATATATTTTTAAGTGTTACTGTAATTCCTATTTAGTTTCATAAAAGCTGCAGTGAGATTAAGGGAAAATAAAAGCAGACTAAAAATTCCACCCTGTCCAACGGTAGAATGGGACACAGGAAATTGATAGAGTTTAATTCTTAACCATGTCAGAAAAATATGTTAAAATACATTTGTCAAAACTTTAAGCTGATTACTGAGTAACAGTTGCTACTTCCACATAAATACTAGAAAATAAATAGAATGTAGAACTCTCAAACCATTACAAGGGAAAATAATAGAAAATAGCAAAAATCAGGACAACAGAAAACAGAAAACAAGATATCAGGTTTCAGACTAAACCTGGTAACCCACCACATGACAGTGGGTTATTAACAGTGAGACATTCCACTGGGTAAGGCAAAAACCTAGCCTTCTGTTTAAAAGAGACCCAAATCAGACTGGTACTGAAAGTTGTAATATGGGAATTATCAAAGATATATCAAAGAAATGCAAACCAAAAAAGGGCAGGATTAGCAATATAAATATGAAACAAAAAGGAGTAAATAGAAAGAGGGATATTTTATATTTTAATGGGGATGCCACAACAAGAAAAAAAAGCCATGAACCTTTACCTACCAAAAAGCGCAGCAATAAACACAAAAGCAGAGCCCTTAGAGCTGTCAAACTGACACACCCACAGCCTACCCAGAGAGCAGACCACAGCCTGAGAGAGAGTCAGATCAAAGAAAATAAAACATTTAAAAAGAGGATGCAAAGGATTTGAGTATCACCATCAGAGCTCCTTTTAACTGTGATCAGCAGCACTTTAGACTATACAAAGAATATTCATTCTTTACAAACACTCTATTAAGAAAAGATGAAATCAAAACGAGCAGTCAACTTAGCCTGCTAAAAAAGGAAAATAAGAAAATTAGTAGGATAAAAATTAGTGGGTACTAAAAAAACTGGTAGAATTGATGAAGCAAATAATAACCCTTTGGAAAGACTAAACCAAACCAACCTCTGAAAAGTAAGTCAAAAGAACAGACTGAGATGTACAGCATCAGAAATGTTAAAGGAACACAATTACAGATGTAGAGAATACAAAAGTGTTAAACAATATACATGCCACAAAATCTGAACATTCTGACAGATGATAGCTAAAAAGTTCATTGCCAAAATGGACCCAAGAAAAATCAGACCAACAGAACGAACCAATACTGAACAATGTGAAAAAGATGTTACACTCTTCTCACCAAAAGTCTACCAGACCCAAAGGGGTTTTATGAGTAAAGTAGGAATAGATCCTATTACTGAAATTGTTCCAAAATACAGAAAAAGAATGGATTCCAAATCATTGTTACAAGGCTAGCAAACCCTGTTTTCGAAACTGACACACCACACTTACATGTGTGCATACACGCCTCTAAACTAGAGATCCACCACTTTACAGATAAAACCTAGTAATATATTAACCTAATAAGGCTTATCACAGGAATACAAGAATAGCTATCAGGAAGCCTAACATAATTCATGTAATCACAATCATCTCATATAAATTTTATAAAATTCAACATCTTCAAAAAATGGTAATTTTGTATCTTCTTAAAGAACTAGGATTAAAATGTGTTTTAATTCAACAGAGTATAAAAGGGTACAACAAGAAAGGCTAAGAAAATCTTAAGGAACAAAATAAAGAAGGGACATTGTCTTCTCATATGTTGTAATTCATGTAACATTCAAAGAGTTAATACAATTGCTGCAGAGAATAACCACAATGCCTGGACCTATTAATAATTTGACAGGTGTGTGCCATATTTTTATTACTATTATGACTACTCCTCTTCCATCTTCCCATTCACAGAATTCAACACCTGCACAATACCATATTGAAGGCCACACCTGAAAGAACCATTTCCTAACTTCTGACCTCACAAGAATACAGCAATAAACACCTTGGAGTGCACAACGGCCTTAAAAACACACATACGGGTCCTTCAGCCCCACTCAGCTGCTGGTGCCAGTGAAGAAGGCAGTCTGCCCAGAGAAAAACCGTCCACCTCCAGCACCTCACCTGGTCAGACCTACGACCTTTAGAAGCCAAAGCCAAAATGAATTCTGGACATCACCTAGTGTAGCTGGAGCTTTCCCATAGTTATCAAATGAGACACCAAGCTTCTCAAATGTATATCACTGGAATGATGTTTAGTTTCTTATGCTTGTTTAAGGATTGAAGTTTATTTGGAAAATTCTAAATACTTTTATAGGTATAGAAATGTTAGCTATAGAAATACAAAACTTCGACTGTGTTCAGGAAGATGTATTAATGATTAACAAGAATTTAAAAGATGCTTATGTAAAAAGAACAAGAAATTGTTCAAAATGTCCCAACCAAAAATATAATCTCCACTTAGCCACTGGGTAAAACCCCATCTAAGATCATTTATTATCACCTGATTCAATCACAGAATTCTATAGCTGCCTAGACTGGAGTTTCAATAACGGTGAATTGTTGAATATTATGGACGTCTCTATCCAAACACTTAAGACAAATCATCTCGGGCGGTTTCAAATTAAAAGCTTGTAAAATATGTAACCTCTCCTAGTTTTTGCAATTAATAGGGTACATCTGCAATTAGCCTGACTTACTGAATGCAGTGCTGTTGTCATTAAAAGATGTCTGTGAAAGTGCTGCTGTTATTATGCAGGCTCAAGAGACCAATCCCTCCTAGAGGGCAAACAGTGGACTGGTGGAAAACAACAGCCATAAATCACACTGTCAGGCGGCGGGGAGAGGAGTGAAGCACAGGCACATGAAGGCCATTCACGGGAAACACGGTACAGCCGCTTCCTAGGCAGGATTTACTGCACCTGTAATTAATTAAAATTTCCTTCAAGCTAAATCTTTAATAAACAAGGATTTGTGCTGACAATAAGGAAAAAAAAAAGGGGCTCCAGCAATACAATTTTACAACATACCTCGCAGAACAAGCCCAGCATCTATCATGTCTTCTATCAGGTGTATACACTGACTCTAAAGTTAATAGGAATGATACCACTTTGCATTCTACTATAATTCGTGCACTTAGAATGTGTCTGAAATATTTCAAATGCTTGAGGAATAATGTGGCTTTTTTTTTTTTTTTTTAAGTTTTTTACCCCGTCTAGCTTTTTAAAAAGCCATGTCTTTTTGCTCTAGTTTCAGAAAACAGGACCTTTTAAAGAACGTCATGTTGACGGGAGTTTCATTGGATGGCCAAGTTTTTGTGTTATTTTCTTTTCTTTTTTTTTTTTTTGAGATGGAGTCGCCCAGGCTGGAGTGTAGTAGCACGATCTCGGCTCACTGCAAGCTCCGCCTCCCAGGTTCACGCCATTTTCCTGCCTCAGCCTCCCAAGTAGCTGGGACTACAGGTGCCTGCCACCACGCCCGGCTATTTTTTTCTATTTTTAGTAGAGACGGGGTTTCACCATGTGGCCAGGACGGTCTCGATCTTCTGACCTCATGATCCGCCCACCTCAGCCTCCCAAAGTGCTGGAATTACAGGCATGAGCCACCGCGCTGGGCCATTATTTGCTTGTTTAACCACACCTTGCACTTCACTGTTTCCATTTGGGGCCAAATGTATCTGAACACGAGAATAAAAGGTCTAAGTGATGTTGAATGACCACGAACATTTTTGATAAAGTACATGTGTACCTTCGCTCTAGACTACATATTGAGTCAATCAGCAATGCCTCATTCAGCATCTTTTCTTTTCCCAACCTCTGAGGTGAAGAGGCCTAAATATTCTTTGTTTCTAACAATAGCAAGAATTACCTGAGTAAACGTTACTATTAGGGACCACACTAAGCTCTTCATACATACATATTAACCCAAAAAGTCCTCACAAGTTTACCAAAACTTAACCATTTTACAGGTGATCAAATCAGGCTCAGAAAGGCAAGTGACTCGCCCAAGCTTGCAAAGTTATAAAACAGGAGATCCAAGATTCAAACCCTGGTCTTATAAGCACAAAACCAATGCACTTAAAATTGCATGCTCTTGTTGCTTCTCCCACTCTTATGCATCTACATGTCATGAATTGATTAAAATGAAACAAAACTCTTTAAATTACCTAAGATGTTACAGAACTACTAGAGCCTACATAGCAAAAAAAGATAGGAGAGAGACAACTGTTTCAGAACATAAGCAATTTCTCATTATATATCTTGCAATAAATTGAAAAAAGGATCCTTAATAATTAAATAAACTTTACAAGACAGTGCTAAAGATGTCACCACCTACTGTGAATTATGGGATAGGTATCACAAGACTGCCTTCTTTCATATCTCTTCATTTATTATATTTTCTTTCCCCAAGAAAACAGTTGGCTTTTTAAGGTTAGTTAAAAACATCCTTTTTTTTTTTTTTTTTTTGAGCCCTAGCAACATCAAACACCTGAAATGCAGTGTTTCTGGTTGTTTTAACAACTAAATATTAATCAACTCACATGAAAGTTGCTCTATACTAGAAAAAAAGATCACAAAATATAATGAGAAAAAGGAAATCTTGAACTTTTATTAAATGAGATTTCAAGTGACCATTAAAAGAGATTCAGAAGCCTAAAAATTTCTTTATCAGATTTCATCATTTGGTTGAAACTATCAGCTGTATATTTTTTTGCATGGCTGCTGGGTGTGCATTTGACAATTCTAAATTATGCTGCCAATCAAAGACTATTAACAAAGATAACATAGCATCAAAGGGTGAGAGAGGTGGGAAGCTAAAGGGCAATCTGGGGAAGAAGAATGGTAGATGTGCTCAATTGAGAAACTGATCATTTGATATTTTTCCAAACGAAAAATTGTTAATTTTTTTTTTTTTTTTTTTTTTTTGAGACAGAATCTCGCTCTGTCACCCAGGCTGGAGTGCAATGGCACAGTCTAGGCTCACTGCAATCTCCGCCTCCTGGGTCCAAGAGATTCTCCTGCCTCAGCCTCCCGAGTAGCTGGGACTACAGGCGCATGCCACCACACCCAGCTAATTTTTGTATTTTTAGTAGAGACGGGGTTTCACCACGTTGACCAGGCTGGCCTCAAACCCCTGAGCTCGTGATCCACCCACCTCAGCCTCCCAGAGTGCTGGGATTACAGGTGTGAGCCACCATGCGTGGCCACTTTTCAAAATTTATGTCATACCAGCTACAACAAAGCATTTGGAAAATAAAGATAATCTACTTGAATGATAAAACAATTCTGGCATTATTATTCTTTTAAATATTTCTAAACAGAAATTCTCTTCCCTTCCCTGTTCTGTCCAGCATTGAATGTCCCAATGTCAGAGTACCATTATTAAATTTAGACAGGACAGCTGGTGGGCACAGAAAGTTCACCCACTGCAAAAAGCAATCACAGCTGGTAAGGAAGTCAGGCATTAGATGCTGAGTTAGAGGACGAATCACCATAAACAGAACTTTTGAAATATGAATAAGAAACACAGGCTCTATTGTAATTTAACACACATGTAAGCCAGCAGGTATGCATGTGTGGTGACAAAGATCTGCACATAGAGAGAAGATTGAAGGTGCCGAGGAAGCAAATACCCCTTCAGTAGTCGAATCCAGAAACTAAAATTATGATCTTAGAAATGTCAATATCAAGGCCTATGGAAAGAAACTATTAATACATTTTCAATGTGTCATCACCACAAATAATAAGCCAATATTAACATTAATAAAAAGTAATAAACATAGCGCTTCTAAGCAAGAATATAGTTTGATACATATAAAAGTACATCTTTTTGATCTTTTGCCTAACAGTTTACATCTTCAGTGATCTAAGATACTTTATAATGGAAAAGGAACAGTAGGAAGAGAGTTAAGAGTTTGAATAAAAACACAAGAAAACTGTAATCCTGTTTTTCCTCAAAAGTTAATTAAGAATCTTCAAGTTAAAGTCCTTGGTAAACTGTAAAACACTGAAAAAATTATTAACCACCATATGTATGCATGTGTCTATGAAGGTAAAACAACCTCAGAAGGTAAAACCACTGCAACCAAAAGTGAAATATCTCTTCTTAAAAGTTTACCCTCCAAAGTTAAGGAGGCAAATTTCACCAAGTTCACTGTCAATTCTATTTCCATAATGAGTCCATGTATGTGGTTTACATGAAGGCAGTTCTTCAAACTATGGTGACAAAGGAACTGGAGGCAAGCTATGATCCAGGTAAAGGTGTCCAATACGCACACTTTACTACTCCAAAAGAAAATGAAAGGAAGAACATTTTTTTAAATTGCCTTTATAAGACAAACATCAGCTAATGAGTCCTGCTACAGGATTTTGCAGTACAAAACACTAAGAGATGTTAACAGATAACAGAAAAGAAAAAGGAACCACAAATGCTTTACAAGGATAGTGACAGGATAGTTTAAGGTTTGACAAACCATTTAAGGTTTGACTAGACAACAATCTAAACTGTTATTATCTTCATATTGCTAAAAATCACTTCTTTTTATAACTCACAGCATTTACCCTAATTTATTAATTATCTTATCCAGTTTATTTTCCACTTATCACTTAAAATTCTGGGCAAAGTCAGTTGGTTTTAACAATAACAGTGTAAGCAAAATTCCATCTCGCCTTACTTGTGCTACCAAACCATAGATTTTTCTGAGTCACTTCTATCAAAAGCTTGCTTTTCCATGAACACAAACACAACAGGAATCCTGGAGTTTCATGGTCCCCGTGCATCTGACTCCGTGAGGCAAACACCCCATAGCCCTTGCAGCCAGCACTGCTTTCCTGGGCCCTGAGAACTCACTCAAGAGCTCAGAAGACTCAGGAAAGAAAGAACTAGCTCCTAAGAGACTGCTGCTTCTCCTCAATAACGTAACCTGCAAATTCACAGTGAAACTGTGTGATTATTATTTATTCAGCAAATGCTTATGGGTCACCTGGGATACAAAAATGAATCAGACACAGTCCCTACTCAACAGAGCTCACAGTCTGGATGGTTAGAGAGATGAGAAGAAAAAAGGAAGAACACAACGTATCTATGCTACCCACAGGTGCACAGATAAAGCTCCTTTTCGATACTGTGATGTTACCAAACTATAAGTGAAGAAATACAACTGTCAATACATGACGATCAAGGATTCGGGGAACAAAACACAACTAAAAAGCAACAACACTTGGGAAATTCTCAAAATGGAAGGTTTCTTCTTTCACTCATCAAAAACAGATTCTAAATGCATATTAACAAATGCATTTACCAATTAAGAGTTGTTATTCTACTTCCGTATCCACTTTCCTAAAACTGTTTAAAGCCGCTAATGTCCAAAGTCTCTCCTTACTGGACGCAGCCACCTGCGCAACCAGGCTTGTGCCCTGTCTGAGACGATTCATATTTCACTGGACAATAGACATGTCACAACACCACCACAGACTGTTGGAACAATAAGACCTATGTTCATAACTGTTCTGAAAACACAGAGCTCTAAAGTAAGTCAATAATAAAATAAATGCACAGGAAAAAAACAGGAATATACATTTGAGAAACACATGGATCAGAGAAAAACCAAATATGTAAAATGGAGGGCATTAAAACAAAACAAAAAGGTATTGAAATATTATGTTACCTTTTTGTGGGTATAGGAACCGGTTTCATGTAGAATTGCCACTCTGAATGGAGGCCACCACGTGTGAAATTCCTTCACCCACTGATGCATCACTGTTGTTGGACAGACAATTACAGTTGGACCCAACCCCTCAAACCTGCATCCAAACGTCCAAGAAGAAAACAACCATGAAAGAGCATATACAGTCATCAACTGCTCAAAAGATCCCCCAAAACAACAAACAAAAAACTTAGTTCAAAAAAAAATGCTAACTATGGAAATTTATTGATATTTTCTTTAAGAAAAAGTTAATGAGGTTAAAATCCAGTAAGTAAAATCTCTATAATCCCATTGATTAATTAATGGATGTAAGCGTTAAGAGAAAACACTAAATAATATATTAAGAGATATAACACCTATACTAACATAAAAGAAAATCAAACAAATATTATTTAACAAAAATACTCTTCTTTTCCCTTCTACTACAGATTAGTGAAGTTTTTATACGTTAGTGAAGTGTTTCTTAACCTAACTGAACATAACAGGATCTTAAATTTGTCTGAAGCTTTATAGTCTACCAAGAGTTTTCAACCCACAGAATTTCAATCTCGCTGCCCTAGGAAGCAAGCAGGCCAGAAATGCTCCACTGATCCTGGCTCAGAAGGCTGGCATGGCACAGGTGACACGGCTACCAGGGGACAGAGGGCTGCCTAGCAGCCAGTCTTCACTTACTGCAGCCTGTCCTCACTACACCACCCTGCCTGCTCCTCCACACCACAACAGCACCATGGAGGAGCACCGCAGTGGGTGTTCTCTCCCGGGAAGCCCACACCAACCGAGTATGAGCTAGCACTGCTGTGTGGGCAGGTGGCTGGGCAGCAAAATCAAGAGCCTTAAAGGCACTCATGCATTGACCTAGCAATCCCAATACAAACATTTACACAATGGGATACACACTGGAGCATTCTTTTTACTGCAGAAAAAGTGGGCGCTACCTATGTCCATAGAGAAGAGGGAAGCTGAATGAACTATCCCATTTCTTTAAAAAGCATGGGCCAGGGGTTAGGGGCACTGCCTGGATCTGAATCCCAGCTCTGCACACATTGTATGATCTCGGGCACACTATTTAACCTCTGGAAACCTCAGTTTTTCATTTTCAAATGGGAATAATAACAGTATTGATCTTATAGGGTTATTAAGAAGATAAAATCAGTTAACATCTGTAAAGTGCTTAAAACAGGACCATACAGAAAATACTGTAAGATTCTGTTAAATAAGATGGAATATCATATAACTATTAAAATCATTTTGAAGAAGTTAATAAACTAGAAAAATGTTCATCATAATTTTTAAAAATTATTTATGGAATAATCCCAATTTCCTTAGACATAGGTATAGGTGGAGAAACTGGTTGTGGCCATTGTCTCAACATCCATTCCCCTCTCTCTTTTTCCTGAAGAATCAGATTTCTGCAGGTGCGCCTCCTTCTTCCTTCCCGCAGACACAGTTTATGGGACTCTGACCACTGCTTGGCTCAGGAGCAGGAATCTTGACTCATCTATAACCTGTCAGTGCATGGTACCCCCCTGAAACTCTCACTAGTCCATGAAGCTGGCCTGGCAAGACTGACCAACTTTGTAAGGAAGAATTACATTCTAGGTTGGGAGAGACTTTTCTCTCCTGGTCTTTCTAGCTACATGTACAGACCAATGGTCGCTGGGTTACAGTGGTAAGGAAATCTAATGATTACAAGGAGACCTGGCCTTAGGCAAAAATTAAAGTATCTGGGTCCCTGAAGACATCACTGAACTGCTGATCACGCTGTGTCCACAGCCTCCCCCTCTGTAGGTTTCTAGGTGTACCATATATTTGTGAATGCTTAACCCAATTTGAGGCCAGGTTTTACTTAGGTGCAGTCAAATATCCCGATACATCCTACACTGTATTCCCTGTCCGCATCTGCACTCCTCCTGCCCTTCTGGGACAATGGGACAAGTGTCCCTTTTCTTGTTTGAGACCAATCCCTTTAGCTAAGCTCTTGAGCTTATATCTCCACAAGCAACGCTCCCATTAATGTAGCCAATTTATCTTCAGTCTTGCTGGAGGTTGGGTGCCAGTCAGTGCATAAGATGAAAATTAAGGAGAAGTCAAAACTAACCATGGCAACCTCTTCAACAACACTCAGCTCATGTTACAAGAGGCAACTAAAAACTGGGACTGACTGAGGGCATCACAGGGCCACACGCCTGCCTTTCACACACCTGGAACAGAGTCACTGCACTCTGCACACAGTCATCCCTCCCCTCCACTCCCTTTTCCTGCCCCACAAAGATGCTGACTGTGTGAAGCCAAATGCACATACATTACTCCACTGTATACACTATCCCCATTCTATCTCACTAATTCCCACAATTTCAATTCTAGATGCTGGTAATGCCAAATCTAGGTCTCCAGCCTAGATTTGGAGTTCACTCTTCTGAACTCCAAACCACCACACACTAGATATCTCACTGCCAATATCCCCATAGCACCACACACCATCCTCCCTTACCTGGCTGTCTCCCATCCCCATGCTTCCAAACCAATGGACAGAACTGTCTCCCACTGTCCAGGTGCCCAAATCAGAAACCTAGGCCTCTCCCTTGAGCAGACCTGCTTGCTCTCCACCATGAGCAACCTACACTGAGTTCACATCATTTTTACCTCCTGAATCCTTTCAGTCACAGTATCTCTCCACCTACACTGTTACTATGCCAGTTCCAGCCACTCTCCTCTCTCATCTGGCTTACTGCATCTTCAAGGATGATTATTTCAAACAGTAAAATTTGAATTCCTCATCCCCTCACTTCAAAGCCTCTAATGGCTGCCCACTGCTCTTGGGACAGAGATTAAACACCTGGATTTGGCCTACGAGGCGACAAAGACTGACCTCTGCTCGGCTCTCCTGCCTTACCTCTCACTGCCACTATCCTAACACTTGCTCCTGTGGCCAGCAGCCCACCAGCCTGAACCGTCTTCCCTTCTTTCAATCGACCTTCACCTTGTCCTGGTTACCCTCTTACCCCTCCAGCTACCTTCTACTCAACATTCAGATCTCTAGCTTCCTCAACAAAGCCTTCCCTGTCCCTTTCTCTGTAAACAAGTTAAGGACTCTTCCTTAGTGCACTCCACATTAACCCTGTCGTAACACAAATCACCTTTACTGTAATTGTATGAGATCCTCCCTAAACTCTGTGAGAGGAGAGAGAATCTCTTCTTCAAATGATCTCAATGCCTACCTAATGGCAAGCAATTAAAGAATACTGGCTTTATTAAATTAAAACATTTTTTAAGATTGGAAGAAAATATATCAACATGCTAAAAGAGATTATTTCAGAGTTGGGGAATCATAAGTGATTTTTGTTTCCTTATTAGAGCTCAGAAATAAATGATTCCTGAACTTAAAACAATTTTTGGCCGGGTGCAGTGGCTCACGCCTGTAATCCCATCACTTTGGGAGGCCAAGGCGGGTGGATCACCTGAAGTCAGGAGTTCGAGACCAGCCTGGCCAACATGGTGAAATCCCGTCTCTACCTAAACTACAAAAATCAGCCGGGTGTGGTGGCGAGTGTCTGTAATCCCAGCTGCTTGGGACGCTGAAGCATGAGAATCGCTTGAACCCGGGAGGCGGAGGTTGCAGCGAGCTGAGACTGCGCCACTGCACTCCAGCCTGGGCGACAAGAGCAAGACTCTGTCTCAAAACAAACAAACAAAAAAAATACAACTTTTACAAATAACTAAAGAGTAAATCATACAGTGCTTGAAATATTAAAAATCATCTACTATACAACTGAAAAATAATCTGTAGTTCTATAGAAAAATAACGAAACTTTGGTCAAGCCCTAACTTAAATGAGGCCTACCCTTACACTCCAACGTGACAAAATACCTGTCTACTTTGAAGCTCTCCCTGCCTCCAGCTACAGTCACCACTGTCCCTGCCCTTCAACTGGGTGGAAAGGGTCAGACTACAAGAAGCCAGAGGCTACAGGAGACTCCGACACTCTTCCTACAGAGTTTCTAAGCTATGCTCCTCACCAAGACAGGGCCTCTCTAGGCACCCCTCGAGCTCCCTAAGGAGAGTGGGACTCTGCCCTGGCCCCTTCCGTGGCAGCAAGCCTGTCTTTTTTTTTTTTTTTTTTTTTTTTTGAGACGGAGTCTCGCTCTGTCGCCCAGGCTGGAGCGCAGTGGCCGGATCTCAGCTCACTGCAAGCTCCGCCTCCCGGGTTTACGCCTCCTGCCTCAGACTCCCGAGTAATTGGGACTACAGGCGCCTGCCACCTCGCCCGGCTAGTTTTTTGTATTTTTTAGTAGAGACGGGGTTTCACCGTGTTAGCCAAGATGGTCTCGATCTCCTGACCTCGTGATCCGCCCGTCTCGGCCTCCCAAAGTGCTGGGATTACAGGCTTGAGCCACCGCGCCCGGCGGCAGCAAGCCTTTCTAAAAGGATTAAATGCACCAGCTTCTTTCTGTCCTCCAAGGGGAATAAAAGAGTTATCATCAATATGCACTTAGCAGGGATTAGGAAACAACCAATCAAAAGCTGTCTAAAATATTTTTACAACAAACTCACATTCAAATAAGCATAAATACATGTATATGTTTTTTCAGGTTATACAGTATTTTTTTCTCTTTTATAATATGCCTTCTGCAAACTGCTACATTGATGACTCACATTTTGTTATTTAAGGCTAGTATATTCTTCTGGCTGAACATCTATCTGGCATTATCATGATGCCCTTTAATTTCTGCCATTTTCCCTCTAGTAGAAAAATCTGGAGATTTTCATGCTGACTTGAGATCTAGAAGCAGACCTAGATTGTTGCTGGACCACAGCAGGACAATCAACTCCATTAACAGTCACGTCGTCAACTGAACCACCCTTTCCTAACCCCTAATTCCAGTGAGATGAACTTGAGTAATGGCTAAGTGTACTACAGTGATTAGCATCAATTACCAAACAGACTACAATTCCTTTAATCTTTGATTACCATTGATCCCCTAATAAATTTAGGGCAAGCCAATAGCTCCATGGTCAAATATATCAACCTGCAAGATGGAAATCTGCTAGTCATACCCAGAACTTACCAGGAACAACAAAGTAAAATATTTATCCTTGAAAGTTTATTAAACTTAGTAACATTATAAATTAACAAAATGATATCCAAGACTTTAAAAAATTAACTGAAGTTTGAAAAGTCAAATTATTTCCTTTTCATTGTAAGATTGAGGGGCCTATCATTATAATATGAATGGCAAAGTGAAAAGAAGGTGGCGTATCTATTATGAACGGGGAACACAGGAACCAGTATAGATGTTTATTAACCATATGTAATATGCTTCTCTGTCTTCTAGAAACACACATACAAAACACATTTTTAAAAAACAACAAATCAAACTTCTTTTACCATGAAGTTTCTTGGTATCACAGAGACACTGTTTCCACTTCAATGTTCATGGTCTTTAAAATTACAACACTAAAATCATCTCAAATTAGGGCCCCTCTACAGTTTGTAAGAGTTCACAGGAAATATACATAGCCAATGAGGCAATAACAGCTCACAGAGAACTTCATTTGACCTTAAGAGCTATTTTTCTGTAAGACATAAATATAGAGAACTCCCAAATTCATCTGGTTCCAGAGGAGGATGTGTTATAAAGTTGTTAGGAAGATGTGGTCCAGTCTGCCCTGGTACATATGAACGGAGGGGACCACACTCCTCTGTAAATTTCCACTCATGAGGAGCCCAGGTGTTTGTGATGCAGCACCACATTCTCGCAAGCCACTTCCACCAATACCATCTTAATAAAGACAATCTGGGATGTAGTCCAATATGCCACATTATTTCATTATAGAGAAGAGGATATAAGAATTGATAGTTAATTGATTACAGCTGTTGTTCATTATTAGCCTTGACTTCATTCTTAGTAGGACTGTCACCACCCAAGAGAGCATGTTTTAATTTTTAGATCAAAATTACACTGCAGGGATGACTTTAGGTTTCCCAGGACCCGAGCATTAGACTCCACGTAAGTTTGATGATAATAGGAAGGGAAGCAAAGAAAAGAAATGGGAAATAAGAAAATCCCAGAAACCATTTTAAGGAAAGAAAGAGTCCTAGAAACCATTTGGAGGAGTTTGGGGTAGTCTAGTTACCAAAAACACCCAATAGAGTTGCAGAAAACAAGCCAACCAAAGAGCTTATTTGAAACAGAAAAAGCATTTTATTTGAAACAGAAAAAGTATATAAAAAAAATAAAGTCATAGATAAGACAACACTAAATGCCCACTTTCAACTTCAACTTTTCCTTAGATCTGGAATGTTTTCACATGCTTCCAAGCAAAATGTAATAGAATTCTCGTATTTGAAAAAAAATCCCCTGCTTCAATATAACTTCCTTGTAACAACAACAACAAAACGTTTAGCATTTAAAAATCTCCGAGTGTTTTCTTCCCCTTCCTACATCTATATAAATGCAACTGGGGTTCTAAAATATTCTAAAACTCCAAACACTCCTCACAGAAGTATTGATCTGCTAACTTAAAGAGTAAGAAATAAAAAGAAAACACTAAACTCTAGAGACTAAAGAAACAAGATCTTGACTCAGTAAGTATATGGTTCACATTTGGCTCTCTACTAAGCATTTTGCTGCTGATGAGCTGGAGTGTAGGAAGAACTTTGGGCACTTGCTGACTTTAGGCACACTGACACTACTGTAAAGACTATCTCCAAATCATATGTAGTGAGTGTCTGAGGTTTCCAGGGCACACCCCTCTAGCAAATACCTTGCTCTTACTCTTTACATAAGCCCTGAAACACAAGGAGCTTGGACTTATCTGGGTTCAGTATGATGAAATATCCTACATAATTTACCTACCAATATTTTTACCAATACCAATTTCTATAAAGTCAATTTACAGTTTAAATATGGAAGTGCTCATAGTACTTTCTTTCAAAATAAAGTATTTCAGTCCTACCACACCAAATAGATTAAATGCTTATTCTTCTGGAATACAAAAGCCTTAATAGTTTATTTAAATTTCTAAAGAAAAGAAAGATTAACATCTAAACATAGTTTTCTACCATTTTAGGTAGTCACTTAGGTTTTGGCCTTAGAATTTATTACATAAAGTTCATAGATTGGGAAAGGCAGAAAGCACAAGGATCAGACAAGTAACTTCATTCAAAAACAAAAGAGAGAGCAAGCTATCTAGAAATGCTATCATGCACACTCATTATAAAGGAAATTAGGGAGAATGGCTTCTTCAAAGCTCCAGCTCTCCCCATGAATAGACTTTGTACTTACTGTAATGCTCACCTGGTCTCCTGCCAGAACAACTATTTTAATGCAAAATTTAATAAATGGAACTAAAGGTATTATGTCTAATTTAAAATTCCATATTGTGTAAACTATTGATATTAACATAATTGAGTTTGTAAACAATCCATTTGTAGAAGCTAACCTTAGACATCGTATTGACCCAAAATATCTAGTGGGGCTCATCTGCAAAATGAAGCATCAATGCCTGGAATTCATTAAAAGTGTTACATGTTTAATTTCTCCTGCCCTACAGCTCCATTGTCTCGTAAAATTTTTCCTTTGATGTCCCCCACTAAAAGAATTAAAGGAATATTGTAATTGAAATATCATCAATAATTCACAAGACCCTCCTCCACAGCAATACATCTGATGAAATATTAATTGAGCTCCACAGACTGACAGTCTGCAGAGGAGCACTTGCCTGTAATTTGAACCACGAGTCCTGATCTTGCTGTAGCTCAGACCTGCCAAGAAGGCAATTATCTGGATGGTCTTGCCCAATCCCATTTCGTCTCCCAGAATTCCTCCTGCCTGCTGGCAGTGCAATTCCCACAGCCACCTAACACCTGTCTGCTGGTACCTACAACAACAAACACCAACAAGAAAAGAGAAAATGGCAAATGGTGGATAATACAGATCATAACGGAAAGTACTCATGAATTAATCATCTGGCTAGGTTCTAGTACCAGTCAGAGAAACATGCGGGATGTGTGTTTTACATGAGTATTATATTTATAAGGTCATACATTTTTGATCACCTAGGCATAAAATCACAAATTTTTCTTTACAAAACGTTAACACATTTCTAATTAAACTGATAGATGGGGTAATTAGAGACTATTTCCTTTCTTTTCAACATTAGAAATAGCTTGCTAAACAAGCATAAACTTACTATTTTTTACTCACTTTCTGGGGGAAAAAAATCCCAAACATTTTTCATAAAGTTCCATTAATTTTTCTACAAAACAGAGGCACTAATGTTTATTTTTTCAATCTGAATAGCATCAAAAAAGCAGGACAGAGAACACCACAACCTACAGCTTATACTATTGAAAAGTCATTTGGTAATCATATTATCTTTTAATAGAAAAAACTAAATTTTAAGGTCATAAACAAGTCTGAATAAATAGGGCTGCTCTCAAAATTAGGACATAACAGATGATTCTGTCATATTACTAGCAGATGCAAAAAAGAACAGTTTAAAGACTCAACAATACAAAAGGTCTTTTTAATATTTCAAAGCAGAAATTGATTCAGGGAGTTTACCATAGGTATAAAAAGATCATAGCTATTAAGATTTTAAATAAGGAATACGAGCCAAAGAGAAATAATTTAAACCACCCCCCGCCCCGCAAAAAGTAGAAGTTAATATTTTTCTTTCTCCATCAATGATATGTTTAATCTAAAACCTAAAAATAAAGTTAAAAAAGGAAAAATACAAAAAAATTTTCTGAGAGTGGAAGAAACACAACAACAGGGAATGGTATGAAGATTATATCCCAAGTTACAAAATCTAAAGCAAATACCACTTGAATTAAAAGATGATGGGTTAGATGAGGTGGCTCATGCCTGTAAATCCCAACACTTTGGGAAGCCGAGGCAGGAGGATCACTTAAGCCCAGGAGTTCAAGACTAGCCTGGGCAACATAGTGAGATCTCATCTCTACCAGAAAAAAAAAAAAATTAGCCTGGAGTGGTGGCACATGCCTGTGGTCCCAGCTACTTAGGAGGCTAAGGTGAGAGGACCGCTTGAGCCATGGAGGATGAGACTGCAGTGAACCATGATTGCACCACTGGATTCCAAACTGGGCAACAGAGTGAGATCCCATCTCTAGTAAATAAATAAATAAATGATGCAAGATAAAGGATTTTTTTTTTTTTTCAAAGAAAATATCAAGGCTAATGGGCTACCCATCTTAAAATAAGATGGTTTTGCTGTTTTGCTGCCCAAATATTTACTATCTGGTACCTGGTATGTCTACCTAAAATCTCATTTTGGACTTCAGCTCATTTAACTGGTTTTATTTAATCTCCTCTCAGTAAATATATCACAATTAACTTTCTCCCAGTATTTTGCAAAGCAATTCTAGAAGTTTGACTCTAGCTGTTCCATTATTACCTATTACATAATGAAAACTCTGAATGAGAATTTTGCTGCTTATTAAGTGTGCTAATTATAATACACACACTGGATATGCACCTTGGAGAAAAGGACTAAAAATCAAAACACGATGAAGTCTAGTACAGATATAAGATGGTTCAATTTGGGAAGAAGGACAAATTCCAAAAATATGTGGTATATAATCAGAGAATAATGGCTACCACTTAAGGAGCAGGCTGCTGAGGAAGCACAGGCCAGGTGGTTTGGACATAGCCTCACAATCAACCTGCACAAAGGAGATTATCAGCACACTTTATCACTAGGAAACAAAAGCTCAGAATGGTTAAGTAACTTGCCAAAGGTCACATTGCTAGAAAAAAATGAGCAAGCCAGAGCTGAAATCCAGAACTGTATGTTTCCAAAGTGATTCTAGAAATGATCTAGACCAATAGTTGTCAGCCAGGGGTAATTTTTCTTCCTATGGGACATTTGGCAATGTCTAAAGACATTTTTGTTACAACTGGAGAAGTGCAATAGTAGAGGCCAAAGAAGCTGTTCAATATCTGATACTGCACAGGACAGTCCCCACAGCAACAAATTATTTAGCCCTAGACGTCAATTGTGTCAAGGTCGAGAAACCCTGATTTAGAACAAAAGTTGGTTCATGAACTGGCTACACTAGAATAATCTCAACTTTTGAAAAAGACATACTGCAAAAAGCTCTCCAAAAAAACTGATGTGCAATTAGTTTCCAGAATCACTAAATTCTAGTCAATTGACCTCTTTTTGCTCAGATACAGAACAACCATGGGACCAGCTCCTCCAGTCAGGGAACAAAATCTCCCAGTGATTATTCTAGTGTATTATTCCTACACCACACTGCCTCCATCCTACATGGGTCCAACAACTTTTTTGCTTGGGGCTCATCAACTTAATTAAAGTGGGGAGAGTATGGAGAGGAGCAATTGAGAAATTATTAAAGGAATGGTAAATAGCATAGGATCCCTGAAAGGGGATCTCTCAGCAGGAACCTGAGAGGGGGTTAAGACAACTAGATTCTGTGTGGCCCAGGAGAGGCAGCATACAATGTGCTGGATGTTTCCTCATCTACAAATCTAATCTTTGAGGGCTTCCAAACAGCATGTGAATGTGTTTACAAGAAGATGAACAGCACTAAGAAAACGACATTAAAAAAAATATCTTACTAGGCAGCATGTAAGTCATATCTCGAGTAGGATCCCTAACAACTAGGGATAGTTACAAAGACAGCAAAGAGTGGCTCTTTCTTTCCACACAACACATGAAGGCCCTCAGATGGTATTTAAAGGAAATTCACTTGCAGATTGAAAGCACTAGCCACACAGCTGGTAGATGGTATACATAGCTGGTATTGCTAGATGAGGAGTAAGCGGCCTGACTCAGGTTTCAGCGGTGCCACTAACTAACTTTGGTTTTATTGCTTTACCTTCCTAATAATAAACAGTGTAAACCAATTACATAGTTTAAATAAAAAACATACTATAGAATCTAGTTTTCAAAATTTTTGAAAAGCATATAAAAATTACTTTTTAGGGACAGTTAAAGATTTTTGTAACTATACAACATAAAAAATTTATTCTGCTATCCCTTGAGACTGAGGCATCACTATGTGACCACAGACAATTGGTGTGCATTGGCATTGCCACACTAACCCAAGATTGCATTTACTAGTGTGGCTGAAGGTAAGCTCAAAAGATTGAAGTTTGTCATTTGACTGCTAAATTAGATAGACAAATGTACTTGCTGGGCAAACTTTCAAAACAGAAATGTAAGTGTTAAACATTATCTTGCAGAAAATAGTACTTAAATGGCTAATTGTACCTTCTGACTCCCTTGTGTGCAACTCTATACCCTGTTAATTCAATTCCATAGAATGCAGTAAATACAGTAAAAAATACATCTACAGTTTAAAATTAAATTGGCCCCGCTAAAATGTAATCATAAAAGAAAAATGGAGACTATCAATCCTGTTAATTTTTTTCATACAGCAAAAGAAAATGAACAGAAGTTTTATGACATTTATAAAATATTTAAAATCCTGTTTTTGCAGAGATTAAAAAACACATTACTTTCCAGGAATGTGCAATTAAGACTAATTTTTAAAAAACAAATATTATTTATATTAACTACTATAGAGTTTTGTCAATACACTGAATCCTAAATACTTTTAGTAAGCAAAGTTTAGTTCTATTAATTGTGAAATATCTTTGCTAGAAAATCTGACATTTATACAAAAATGCAGACTCAACTTGATCCTTGAGGATATTTGCCAAATCACTTACTACACATACACAGAAGCATCCTGTCTCTTTAAAATCAATTTAATCTACAATTTGGGTGTTCCTTTTGCTAGTACAACACTGATGGTATTTGGCTTGTTTCTTAATAAACAATCACTTTAGAGAAAACAAAAAGAGTTGCCAATAAATGTGGCCTTTATTTACCTTTCCATAGTTAATTTTCATTTGGGAGAAGCAATAAACAAAGCAACCACCTCTCTGCAAATATTACTACAGATTCGGATTTCAACTTCTGCATGGCTGTTCCTCTGTCCAGTTAAAGCAATCACATCAAGTCACTTCACATCTTCAGAGTTTGGCTTTCTATAATGTTTAGTGGGATAAAATAACTCCTCTTCGCTCTCCACTCCCCCATGGAGAGAAAAATTAAAACTGTAATATAAGCTCTTTGAGAGAAAATATAAAGAGCATGCTGTTTTTAAGTAAACTTCTTCCACAAGTTTAGGGCATGCCTGACAACTGAATCTATAAAGGAGACTAAACTTAATCATCTCAAAGAAAGAACTTTGCATCCTGGCCCAACTACAAATTGATTATACAAAAGAGACAGAAAGAAGCTATGTAATGGTTTAACTTCCTACATGCATCTAAGAAGCCTTCCTAAAGTATCTTGTTAAGTAAATCCCAGGAGTGATGAGACTGAAAATGTTCCTCAGTATTTACATTCATCACGGGAGACCGGCCAGCCCTTAGAGATGACATGCACGCATCTATCAGGCAGCATCCGGTCATCTCCAATGCTTGGCCACTTACACATGAAACCTAGCTTCAGACAGCAACTTAATCGTCAAGGTGTTGCCCATATCTTCTCTTTTGACATTAGAATGACATCCTACATAAAATATTTAGATGCGCATTTGGTCAGCTCAAAAATATTATACCCTCAGGTACAATATAAGACACTCAAAACATCTCAAAAGTTTTTTATTCCCACATATAAGAAAAAAAATCCTTCCCAATATTGATTTTAATATGCAACTCTTCCTATTAATCTGATTTAAGAAATTAGGAGTTTGGCACCTTAAAATTACTAAGAACAAAAAAATTATTCAACATAGATGGCTTTTAAATGTGTTGCTTTTAGTCTGCTGAGACAGGTCCATATAGATTCATCAGTTTACAAACATACCCAATGTACACTTTAGTCAATTTATTATCATCCAATTTTAATGAACAGCACGTGGCTATAATTTCATTTGACAGTATCTGTTTTTGCAATAAATTGCTGCAAGTACCTTCAGGGCCCACAGGTAACTACTATGTAATTCCTAAAATGTTAATTTGTACATAATGGCTTGACAGCAAATAGAAAGGAAAGAACACATGGTACATACTTAAAAAGCTTTTTGAACAGAAAACCTGGCACTTTAAAACCTTCGTCAAATTCAGCATCGCTTTCCTCAGAATCGTCCTCCAGCTTCAGACGTTTCTCTTTGTCCTGCAGTCTCAGTTTATTCCATCTCCTACCATAAAAATAAAAATCGTATTTCCATTATCTTGATCACAAGATAGATTTAAAAAGATAGCTCCTGATAATGTACAAGAAAAAACGGGCAAATTAAAATGGTCTCTTAGGTTAATGCTGCCATTATTACCCAAAACACAGATATTCAAAGAGGAAAAACAATTCTCTTCTCCGGCCATCTCAATTCATTTCTTATGTAAATTATTACAGCTGCTCTAGAAATATTTCTTTAAGGTCTCATTTCATTATCAAAACTACTTTCTCCTCTTCTGGCATACCCTAAGGGAAAATTTCTCAGCTAGTTCGTAATACATGAAATTAGTTCTAGAAAAGATTCAGTAAAAATTTCAATATAATTGAGTGTCTTCACAACAGCAATACTATGTAACAAAAAATAGATTTTATTTATAATTACTGTTTCTGTGCTAAAGATATGATCATCACAGCATAAAACAACAAAGTACCTTAAACATAAAGCAAATTTTGGGTCAAAAATCACTGAATCAGGTTCACATTACTGATTACTTAACTGGGGGAAGAGGCATCAGCAATATATAAGCACTGATAGTGCTACCGCTCAAAAAAATGTGTTCACTGAATAAAATCTAAGTTACAAATTTAGTAATATACTTTCAGATATAAAATAAGGCGAACACTTATATTTCAGAAGGAAATATATTTCATCTAAATATCTGAAAGTCTTAGCAACACACCAAGGTTGTGGAGAAGGTACACCCATTTAACGAGACTAATTTTGCATTTATATAACTATAATGGACCCTAGTTGTCATGAGTGGGGGAAAAAAGCCTCAAATTCTATTCACTTTCAAAATAAAAAGATGACTTTTTTCATTTGGCATGGTGCAACTGATGCTCTGAATTTCACAAAATGGTGGAAATGGAATAAAACAATAATACAGAGAAATGCTTTCAAACTACAATAAAAAAAAAAACTCACAGGAATTAAGAGCGGCAACACATATACAGCATTTATCTGCCACTGACTATGCAAGAGTAAGAGAGAATGTCTGAGGCAAGGCAAGAGAAAATGAAAGGGTAATACTACACATGCTGCCTGGTCAGAGGTATGGTGTGTTGTCCATTACAAAACCAGCACAGAGCCCAATGCTAGTATCTGAGTAGCTGCTGGTGGGCCTTAAAGCACATCCTCTGATAAACTCTTGCCTTGTTGAAAATTTCAACTCTTCAAGGTAATAAAAGGAAGGGCTAGCTGAAATTTTCTTGTGATCAATAAGAACTGGTGATCTGAAATTGCACTGCACGGTAGTAAAGGACCTATAAATAAGATCAATGAAGCACTGTTGGTCATTTCCAGAGAAGAACAGCAAATGGAAGAGGCAGTATATGGCCAAGTCAAGGAAATAGCTATCATCTGACAATAGTTTAATAAGTGATACTCTTTTTATAGAAAAATTTAATGTCCTTTTTGTGCTTAACTTCTAAAGGCAATCTCTTCTTCTCCACTGGTATTTTTCTTCTTTAAAAATTATCACTGTGCAATGGACAAAATGAAGTATCTCTAGGTGGCTATGAGTCTTCTGGGTTTCATGTTATTTACAAATTTAGTTAAATGCAATGGTGTACAACAACCGTTCTTGACAGGGAGCAATTCTGTCCCTTCAACCCCACCCTGGGGTAATCTGACAATGCCTAGAGATATTCTTGGTTGTTACAACTGTGGAAGGAGTCGGGAGGATATACTACTACTGGCATCTTCCATGTGAGTCCAGGTATGCTGCTAAACATTCTACAGCACACAGGACAGCCCCCAAACCCCCCAGTAAAAAGTTATCAAGTCTCAAATGTCAATAATGTCAAAGCCAAGAAGCCCTGGCATATAGGTATCCCTTACTATCAAAACTTAGAAACTGAACAGATATACTTTCCTGATACACATATCTGAATTCTTGCTACTCACTCTGTAATTCAGCAATCAAGCAGTTTACATAATGAGAGAGTCCTCAGTATCAAAACTATGAACTCAGAGCCAAACTTCTGCATAACAAAGGATACTTGTATTTAGTAAACTTGTGGATAACATAAACGCTGGAAGAATCACAGCCACTTAAACATACTTCACTTTGCAATTTCTCCAAGATAATTTTACAGAAGGAGAAATAAAAACACCAGAATATATTGCCTTTAGAAGTCTGGCACAATAAGGTCATTAAATATTTTACATACAGGGTATCACTTTTTAAACTTCATTGATATATGACGACCATTTCCTTAGACTTAGCCAGTCGATCTTTGTGGCTGTTAAATTTCCCACCACATCACTCTGCATCGACAAGATTCAGCTTCCTCCTCCTCCCTCCCTCCTAAAATATATAGGCATCTTGTCACCACAGAACTCAGCACCTAGGAAACCACATAAGCCACTACAGAAATGATTGTATTCTAGTGCCTTCCGCTTCATAAAGAAAGATGAAAAGGGCCAAACATTTATTCGGTTTGGCTAAAGGATGACTAAAAGTGGTGGGGAAAATCATTATTGCCTACAAGTATTTGTATCATTGTGAAGACAAATCGCCCCAGTAGAATTATACACATATTAAAGACAGAATATACCACGGTTATAAAACCACACGTATACAGAGAGGCGAAGAGATTCTTCTGTTACATAAGCAATACTTCCTCATGTGACTTATCGCCAAAATAGACCTGACCATCTGATAAGGGTCCACTGAAGCAGCACAGCTGAAGGTGGGGCCGACAAGTACACCACAGCACACTAGGGAAAGGGGGAGAACCAAGTTCATCCACACATACACAGAAACATGTCTTCCCCATCCCAGATGCTGCCAAGAGACTTTAAGGTGCTCTCTTTAACATGTCTAACCAGCCTGTCCTGTAGTCTGGCAGGCTGAGCAGTCTGTCTGGCCAGCAGATGTAAAGGATTCTGTATACGAACACACTGGGTTTGACATACGCAGAAGCGCAGGCACAGGCACAAAAGTCTGAGCTCATACTGGCTGTAGTCAAATCCTGGTGCCATTTACTAGCTCATGAACCCTCAGCAAGTAACTTAACTTCCTCCGCATCTAACTTTCCTCCACTGTGAGATGGGGAGAACAGCAGCACCTACTTCACTGGGTTCTGGGAAGGATTAAATAAGGTGTCACATACAAAGCACCTTAGCACAGAACCTAGATTAGGAAGTGCTTAATAAACTGATATAGTATTATATATAACCACATACATTTTCTGAAATCCTCACAACAACCCTGCAGCAGATACTATTATTATGTTCACTGAAAGAAGAAACAGGTTACATATGTGGCCCAATACAATGTGCATATTGCAATGTACCCTGTTTAACAGAACTATCTGAACATGTATACCTGAACAGAAACTGTGATAGCTCATCAAATGGATGCTCAGTAAATTATTACGAATAATGTGTTCACCATAGGAGTAAAGACACCTAGTCTTCAGATGGTACCTGTTGGAATATCTCAATTTAAAAATTCTGTCACAAATTTGTAAATAGTAAACCGCCATTAGGTATGGCAGTCTTTTACGTGATAGTAACAAAAATAGATACAGATTGACTTAAAATTGGTAGGGAGTGGGTAAGAATTAAGATCTAGGCCAAGTAAGCTGAAATCTTAAAAATTAGAAATGACCTCAAAATGTCTAAATTCTGTTATTTCAATAAGTAGACCAGTTAACTGAGAAAAAGCACAAGGGAGCAGTAAATAGTCCAATATTTACCCTTTTAGAAAACAAATAACTTTTTCATGTTCTCTATTCTCTCATTTTAAAAAATCCACACACGTAATAGTCACAGCTGCAGCCACATAAAACGAAGTGGTGGGCATGGTGTTCACTGGCTGTGTTTCTAGCTCCTCACAGAACTGCCAGATTCAGCCTGCTGTCAACTCCACTGGCAGCCAATTACAAGAGAAGCTGGGAACAAACATAAACCTAAAATTCCAGTCAGATGCAGACAGAGAAAACACTCCCTGGTTTCCCTACATTCATGCAGGAATGAGAATCTGGCCCAGGCTGTGGGGCCTGGGGCTGAGACTGCAATAATCATCTGTCAGAAGCAACTCAGACCCAGCACAACCAGTTGAACGACACTAGGAACAATGCTTCCTCCAGTTGTAACCTATTAGGGTGCCTTGTCAATGGAACCCTGAAAGCTAGTTGCTGTCATTTAATATATTTTAGAAGAATTTTCAGCATTCCGAGGATGTTCAAAATAAGTAAGTGGAAAGACACAGCTAGCTACCACTGTGCCATACCATGTATGCAGCCTCATCTCTGTGCACCTGCATTCCTGTACTGTCCCCAAATCCTTCCCCTAACACACATATCCACACATTCAGCAGACCTTTCATACCCTCACTCATGCAGCACCTCCACTCACAGAAACCTCCCATGACCAGCCAGATTTAGGCGTCCTGTCTTCTAAGGGCCCTCCCAATCCCGTGACATCTTGGACACACCTGGGAACTCTACTACAGTGCCCATCAAGGGGAAATCCCTTCACACTGGTATGTGAAATCCATACCAGTGTCCTCCACTGGACTTGAAGCCACCTGGGGACAGACACTGTCCTAGCCATTTTTATAGCACTAGAGACTGGTATAATGCCTCCTCATGGCAGACAGTAAGTGCTGAATGAATGAATGAAGTTCATAATTGGGTTAGGGAAAAGGAAGATACAGACAGAGAAGCATGGCTTGAAAATGGTCAAAAGGGGTCATCCAGAAATAGGTTCTGGAAACTTTCTGTTCTATCTCATTTAGAGCCTACCTCTTGCTGCATTTCCTACTCCTTCTACCCGTATGACTTTAAAGCACTGCTCCTAGCTCTGTCCACTGGATAAAAATGGTTAAGGTTCGCTACAAAAAAATGACCCATAATGAGGGTGGCTGTAACATCAGATAAGTTCTTAATTTAGAATCTTATAACAAAAAAAAGATAAGGAGAAGGAAAGCTCATTATTTTGAACAATAAAAAGGT